GTAAAATAATATATTCTTTTTTCTTCACTCACTGTTTGGAATATGAAATTCTCTGAGAAAGGTGGCTGGAAAAGCAATATCCTTTTCCAGATATTTCATAACCGAAATATTCCATACGATATTCTGCTATTTTTCGACGCAAAATATGAAATGTCTCTTAAAGTGTTGAATTTTCGATGATTTTGGCTTGATATTTTCACCTACAGGATGTGCGCATGTTTTTTTTAAAAGGACTCAATTAATCGTACTAATCTTCGCGCACATCAATGCATCTGCAGAATGCAATAGAATTCATCTTTTTCTGTGTTTTTATATCAATACTCTTTATCGTTCTGATGTACAAGATAAAGTATCGTAAAGATGGATGGATATCTCCAGAAATGCTGACGACAGGAAAGAATTTTGAACCAGACGAAAATTAGTGTTTTAAGGGTTTCCTCTTTTGCTTATATTCATTCGAGAGCAACCTTGAACTATACATATATCTCGTATAGTCATCGAATTCGCCGCGAATTTAAAATATACACTTGCGTTGAAGAAGCTTAATGACTGTGAGATATTTTTTATGCATTCATAAATTATATCTAAAGAGACGTAAAGACTCTTAAGGCATTTCAACGCCTCATAAAACTTTTTACTGCCGTCTTTTATCCGTATATCTTGGAAATACTCGCCTATTACGTTTCACGTGCCTCACCCTGTATATCGCGTAACCGCCTCGACGATGCGTCATTTATCAATGACCGGGGAAATGTTTCTTGCGATAAACAAAGGAGCGTCCCTCTCCCCGTCCCTCCCGATAAAACGAAATACAGATTAGATTGGGTAAATGTGTTAGCATCGGCCAAGAGTCGCGTTGTGTAAATCACACGAGATTCGACTTCCGATTGAACAGGGAACAATCATCGCACAAAGAGAGCCGCCGACTGCACGCGTCCCGTGAAACGAGCGAACGTTCACACATACACACTGCGAATTACCGTCGATCTTCAAGTTCCATTAGCCGCGCCATTAATATAGGTGCAAATCATTACGGCTAGCGGCGTGTTAATTTCGCGTTTAACCGCGATTAACGGCGACGCCGCCGCCGTTTCAAATAGTCGCGGCGCATTCGCTCGCGCGGAGAAAGGAAGCGGATGGACGGTTGCGTATCGGCGCGCGCGCATATGCATATTTAAATGCACCGCAGATTTGCGTACGCGCGAGGGAGCCCACATATTTGCCCACCCCGGGGCGTGTTATCTTCTCCGAATAGATAAACATATACACGCGACGTCATTATCGAGCGATTTATTTCGGCTCTTATCGGCCGATTCGATCGCTCTCGCCGGCTAACAGGACTTTTATCGCGGCTGTAAATCGGCAAGGCAACTCTGCGATTCGCACGTCGCGACAAGGCGGATTTGTAATACTCGACGGCGGAGAGTGTAACGCCTGTCTTCGCATTCATATTGTTGCTCGTTCGCGTGTCATTGACGTGATCGATTCTCCGTCGAGCCGCATCGGCTATGCGGACAGAATATTGTCTAGCTCTTTTTCTCATGTAAATTCTTTCCCACTTGGCCGCACTTTCTATTAGGTGCACCGGTGAATAATCCAAATTTTTTTACGCAGCTGAGAAGTTAATTTGGAAATCAATCGATCTTCCCGCGATTATGTAGCGTTGTTGACATATAGCTATTAAAAATAACACTTAGTATGGCGGAAGGCCATATCAACATAATTTGCAAAAGTATTCAGTAGAGATAAAAATGGCGGACAGAATATTGTCTAGCTTTTCTTCGTGTAAATTCTTTTCCACTTGACCGCGCTTTCTATTAGGTGCACCAGCGAATAATCCAAAATTTTTTAACAACTGAGAAGTTAATTTGGAAATCAATCGAATTTCCCGCTCTTTACCGCGGTTATGTAGTGCTGTTGACATATAGCTATTAAAAATGACAGTTAGTGGCAGAAAGCCATACTGACATAACTTACAAAAATATTCAATACAGTAGAGACAAAAATGACGACAGATAAGGTGCATATCCGACGTTGTATTCTTTAAAGAATTCCCATAAAGAAAAAATGCTGCAGGAACATGCGAATTGATTTGTTCTTTTCTCGGCAAATGTTCTGCGGTACGACGTGTACGCATTTTGAGTTAAGCGATTTAAAAGTAGTAATTTTGGTCTGATTGACAAACAATGTTTGTCCTGGAGGCTCTTGGTAGTGCGACAACAATGATTTGGAGCAACCGTTCGTTGCGAATTCCACACAGACGCAGAAAGAGCTTGCAGAATAATTGGAAGTAACGCAGCAAACCATTTCCAAACGCCTACATGAGATGGGAAAGGTCCAAAAAGAAGGAAAATGGGTTTCGCATGAAATCACTGAAGCCAACAAAAATCAATGAGTGACAGTGTTTCTTTCTCTTTTCAATAAGCAGCGTCGAGAGCTTTCCTTGTGGAAAATCCTTACGAGCGGTGAGAAATGGATACTCTATGACGATCTGAAGCGCAGATAGTCACGGATAAATCCTGGCAAACCATCAACGTCGGTCGCAAAGCCCAGTCGCTTCGGAAAGAAACTTCTTTCCTGTGTTTGGTGAGATATCAAGGGCGTGCACTGATTATAATAGAGTACACCTTTGATATCCCACCAAGTGCAGAGCAGAACAGCTCATAAATTGTTGTAATCGGGAAGTACAGTTACCGCCGACTGCTACCAACGCCAATTAATCTGCTTGAGTCAAGAATTGGAACGAAAACGCCCTGTGAAATTATTGCATAACAACGCCAGGCCACATGTTACTTTCAAGACAAAAGGCATAACATCAACTTTCAAGACAAAAGGCACATAATGAATCTTGTCTTGCGGCACTCGGCGTACTCACCAGACATTGCTCCATCCGATTATCAGTAGTTCCAGTTGATACAACGCGCCTGTCCGATATGCACTTCCAATCAGTGGGTGAGATTCGAAAATGGTTTGACGACCTTATCGCGATGCAGCAATTTTTCCGAGATGGAATTTATCAACTGCCTGAAAGGTGGCTTGAAGAAAGTAACGGCGAATACTTTGATTGAAAAATTCGTCTTACTTTCTTTCAATCTAGAATTTAGCCGAAAAAGTTGGATTATTCATTTGTACATCTAGAAATAGTGTGCAAGAATAGATTTGTTGGTGGAGTTTATTACGCTGAAAAACATATAATAATAATAATAATAATAGACGTCACTAACGGTCTACAATAGATGCACAGCAGATGTAAGCCTTTGGCTGTTTGCTCTGAGTTTTATAACATTTCTCATGCTTAACAGCTGGAGTCTGACAGCTTGTTCGAAGTTTAAAAATTACGGCTTCAGACGGGAGACGCTTTTAGTCGAAAATTAAGTCACAGTCGTGGGCTCACAGCAAAAGATTTACTATACTTATTGTGGATCGCGACGAAGGAACACACTGAATTTTTTACCAGTAGACTTTAGTTTCAAAAGTACAAATAGTATATACTAGATAGTCTACGCAAGGCTTAACAAGTTAATACTCCGAGAACTATGCGATCAATTTTAATCGCCCTGCTCTGGAACTTTATAGATCCCAAGAGTCTTTAAACCTCAAGACTTTCCCCGCATTCACTCTTCTTGAAGGGTGTAGCTGGGGTTTAACTTCAAAATTTCAAATGGATAAACTTTAGTAGACACGACGATCTCCCGTTATTGATCTAACTTACCTTCACGTTACTTTTTGGGATCAAGATATACAGGATGCCTAAAAAATAAAGTTCGGCATTTTAAGGGCGGATAATACTCACAAAATGGAGAAAACAAGTCCTAATAAACAAGTCAAAAAATTAATATTGTCAGAGCGAATGAAGAATTATTTGTTCTAACTAAAGCAAATAACCTACTCACTTCTAGTGCTTACAAAGTTTACAAAAGATTTTCTAACACTGTATTGTATTATAACTTATATTAATATACCATAAAAATAACCCTGAAATTACTTGTTGTTCACGAGTATATGTGACAAACAGCTTGATGAAGCGTACGTATAAATGGGAAGAAAATAGATGTTTGTTTACATTCTGAGCAAGTGCGAAGAGATTTTTTAGAAATTTCTTTAAAGCATAACACTCTTTTTACCGGTAAATGACGCGGACAAATTACACCAGAATATACCAGAAAAGCACCGGAAGCGAGTTGCTTGCTTTAATTAAAATAAATAATTATTCATAATCCCGGCAATATTAGTTTTCCGACTCGTGTTTTTTGGAACTTATTTTCCCCACTTTGTCAGTACTATCTTTTTCAATATTTATTAACTTACGATATCTCGCTAACTATTTGTCAAAAGGAAAAATAGTACTAGACTTTTTTACTTTATTTAGTCTCAAGAATATATTGCTACAATAGTGCCCGAACTTTTGTTAACTTATCAACCTTTGGAAATTTCAAAATTATGAAATTAACAGAAGTCAGGACGCTATTGTAACAACATATTCTTGATATTAAATAAAGTAAAAAAGTCTAGTACTACTTTTTCTTCCGACAAATAGCGAGATCGTAAGTTAAATATTGAAAAAGTTACCAAATGTTTCTGAAATATCTAAAAAAATATTAGGCAAATAAAAAAATGTTTCAGACAAAAGTTGTCCAAATTAATTGGTAGAAAACGATGATGTAATAAAAAATAGGGATTTCTATTTAAGAAAAGTAATAATCAGTGAATATCTCGAAAGTGCCGCCATCTGTAAAACAAAATGCTATCGCTTTCTTATGTCCTCCTTCAAACCAAACAACTTTTGCCCGAAATATTTTTCTCTAAAGTATCACGTTTACAAAATATCGGCTGGTACGAATAGTCTATGACACCCTATATACGAGGAACGGTTGTGTGAAAAATTTTGTTGTTACGGTGATCTGTTAAACCATGCGTGAGTCATCCTGTATACGCAACGAAAAGATAATAAAGTATCGAATTGTCATTAGGATAATAAATGAACAAAATTTGTTTCTGTTCTGTTGATATCAGTTGCAACAAGATTCGACAGTAATTTTTTCCATTGCGAGTCCCCTCGATGTGCGAATGCGCAGCCGACTCCCCCATGGAACGGGATTCACCACATCGATATTACAAGAATGTAATTGCCCGTCGGATTTCAAACGAATACGTTAACGATTACACATGATATGGAATTTCATTAACATCATATAAATACGTACACGCGCTCGCGCGACGCATATTCGCGATAACGAAAGTCGACGGTTCGTCGACTCGGGGCGACTCGGGGCAGATAACGTCTCGCGGCGTGCCACCCGGTATATACGTGATAAGAAAATATATAAAGTGCGCCAAGTGTCTTTTCGCAGGCAGACGTGGAAATCCGCGCTGGCGACATTCCCCGCGGCCTCCGGGAGAGCCGTGCCTCCGCGGTTGCACCAATCGCGGCCGTCCTTTCACTGTCGGAATTCGAAGCTCGTGCTGAAAAGGCCGATTACCCGTATCCTATTCCCTTTCGACTGGCTGCAACGATCGAGGACCGATCGCAACGACAACGTGTCGCGACATCGGACACTTCGAAGGCCTACCTGTCTCTCTCGTCGCGGAAGATCGGCCGAGAGCCGGGTTGCCGAACGGGAACGCGAAACGGGAGTGATTCGCGCGAGAACTTTCACAAACGTTCGTTCGTTCGTTCGTTCGTTCGTTCTCACATCGGGCGGAATAGCCCAGCAGCCGCGTAACTCAGCGCGAATAGACGTCGCAGTTTGCGAGATCGTGCAGCCATCGGGCTGATAAAGAACGAAACATGTTAACGTGTTACATGACCGCGCTGCAATGCGAGTGGATCGAGAGCCGCGGGCGATTGAATTTCGGCGCGCCGCAGTCGCAATTCAAGTGGGTCGTAATTCGAGGGATTCGAGACACGCCGGAGGGAGGGGGAGTGCAAACCAGAGTGACACGTCTGTTTCGTTTGCTGTTGCAGGAACAACGTCAACGTCGAGGGCGCTACTCACAAGCAGGTGGTGGATCTCATCAAGTCGGGCGGCGATGTTCTCACCTTGACCGTCATCTCCGTCACGCCGCAGGAGGCGGAAAGACTGGAGCCCTGTGATGACATGAGGTAAGGACAAAGATGTTCAGTAGGGAGAAAGATTATCAAGAGTTTTGTTGATGTGAAATCGGGAATGATGAGGAAGAGGCCGACAAGAGCCTTCGTATGAATGTTACGTTGATTAACAAGTGTGGATTAAAGTCCGAGCAAGAAAATGTGTCGTACTTCTGATTTACCTGCATAGACACGATTGCTTGTCAATTTGTACCGCACAGGCTCCTATTGGTCTGTCCTTAAGGTTTCTGTTTCCGCGGCTACCTGGAATTGCCAGAAGCGAGGAAATCTAAAAAGTCTCGCAAAGTATGTTGGAATAAAAAAGATGTGTTCATAAAATGACTCTTGCGACCGATCGAGCGGATCCGAACACGTTCCCTCTGCTCTTGCAATCAATAAGTGGGCGGGAAATTAATGTGACAGAATCATGAGAAGAGATAAGTTGCACGTGAAGGAAAGTAGGTTGCGCGTCATGTGAAGGCAAGAGTGGCAACTTCTTGATTATTAGAGCAAGAGGGAAATGTTCGAAATGCTGCTTTACAGATCTGCTCGATCGATTACGCAAGTGCCATTCTATGAATATGTCATATTTTAGCGAATTTTGCAGGAATTTTTAGTGTACGCTTCCTCGCCTCTGACATCATCAATCAAGAGTTAAACGGCGAAAGGCTACGAGCCTTGACGGTCACGCTGAATTCACGCGTGAGTCTCGTCACACAGAGAAATGTGTGTCGCATTCAAGTAAATGTTACTCGTCTCAAGTTTTTCGGAAGTTTGCATACCTATAAATCTGCCACAAATTTGTCAAAAACGACGAATTTACTCAAAATAATTTCCAGCTAGTTTACTACTTCAAACAAAAATATTAAGTTAAAAGAAAAATCCAGCTTGCTTCCAACAGAAAATATAAGATATAATATTCTTAAAATTAATATTAAAATTAATATTTATAATATTCTTAAAAAAAGAATACACACACATTCCTCTTCTGAGGTATCTTCTATGATAATGAGCTTTCTTGACATTCGCGATGGGTATACTTTAATTATCGAACAAATATTCGTATTGAAAATGATCATTTTACTTAAAAGAAGAAAAATAAACGGGGTGCTCGTTTTTCCTAGCAACAGAATGATATTTTTCTCTATACAGGCTCAAATTCTCGGTTATGATATTTCCATTCGACGATATTGCTTTTGTCGATATTCCTGAAAAGATTACTTTGTGAAATTATTTCCAGGCAGACAAATAAAGTAAAAAGATGTTTACGGCAGCTCCTCAGCAACTCCGAGTGTGTTATTTTTCATGCATAAGCATATGTGATCTCGACTGAAGCTTCTTTTTTACACATTTCTAGCAGTTTTGAATCACATCGTTTAATTCGTTTGGACACCACCATCAGCACGATCAACCGTATTAAGTGACGTGATTCGAGACGACGAGAAACGTATAAAGAGAGATTCAGCCAATTACACATTTATACATATCAAAATAGCACACTCAGATTCGCAGTGAACTCACGCGTCACCCGGACATGGATGTTACCGATATTCGAACTTTGGCACCCGAGCTTATCGAGCGTAATCGTGACGCAGTTGCAATTGAAACCTTCAAGAGGAGGCGAATCGTGCCCCAGCGGTGTTCAATCAAATTCCCGATAATAATAGAAATATCTCGATCTTGTGTTACCGATAAGATCGCCGAGGTGCATGTACTGATGGCGATTCTCGATAACCGCGCTCAGTCTTCTGCCTCCAATAACCCGCTCGAGACTGAGCATATGGCACTAACTGCGCTGCATCTTGGCTAGCTATGCTTCAGTGGACTACAGCGAGAAGCGGTCCCTACCCATCAGCGTGCCGGATTATCACGTTCGCGAGAGAAAACACGAGCGCTACGTGGTCTTCAACGTCCACATGGCTGGTAGGCACTTGTGCTCGCGCCGATACCGGGAATTCGCGGCGCTGCACATGGCGTTGAAGAAGGAATTCATAGGCTTCAATTTCCCGAAGCTACCAGGAAAATGGCCATTCCAGTAATGTTCTCTAATTACTCATACACACGCGAATATGAATAGACTCGTTCAGTCGTCTCACGAACGAGTCTGTTCGATGTCCGACCTCTGTCGCACAATCGAGCCGCGTATAAAAAAAAAAAAGAAGGAGCTTCTGCGCATTTTCGGCATCCTCGCGTTCGTCTTCGCGGCTCGTTGAACTAGTTGAGCTAGCTGGTTAATTGGTTATGTTCAGCGAGTTGAATGTTGCGACAGTGATCGATGACATGCACTGTAACGACGTTTATACAGTAGTCTGAAACCAGTTTGACAGCGCTCGTGCAGGGGGAGAATTTTATAATAAAAATTGTTGTCGAACTTTTTTGTAACCGAGAAACATATCACACACGCGTGTATAATATGCTGCCTTAACTTATTATCTGACGTTCTGTACGTGAAACTGCTTATATTTCAGGAACTCCGAAATATATTAACAAATCATTAACAAATTTGCTATATTCTTTGTCAAAAGTATTCAGAAGAATTTAGATGAAAAAAGCTATATATAATACTCTGTGTACAGAGATACCGCAGTTTTCGGAAATAAAATCTCAATCTGACAAAATGCGAACCGGACAAAGACACAATGACCACAAACAACATCTTTGTTATCACGACTGAAAGTATTCGCCTAAAAACTCATTTGCCTTCAAACTCGGTTGAGATAGCTGAGAACATTGGTCGAATAAAACTCTCCTGCCGGAATTTTTCTCCTCTTGCGATATCGAGTTTTTGTCTGGTACCTTCTCCCTTGCTCCGCAGAAAACAGCAAGTCAGTTACAAGTCAGTTACCGAGTTTCTCTTTCCTTGCACAGAGTCGATATTTGACATCTTTTGACATTGTAATTATCAGCGTCGCATATCGTATATAACATAGTGATACATATATATGTGTTTATGCGACACATAATAGCAATGATTGCAACACTGGAAAAATAATTAAATCGATTTCACAACGTTTATGTAAACATAGATTTCGCGTGTTAACAAACCGGTTTCACATTGCCGTATAAATTCAGTACGATACTGTCACTTCTCATCAAGTTGCGTATAAAGTATAATTAATTCCATTTGAAAGGTCATTTGGACTTTTAACAGAGAACCAATGAATGATGTGAAAGATACATGTGTCTCGAATTGTGTTTGTCTACCGTATTTTGGACATAGTTCAAAAAGTTATTTTCGAAGAGTAACGTATTATGTCGTTTGCATTACCTGTTGAAAAAAAATAATTCGTGACCGTTACTATTACTCAGAAAGTAACGAATATTACAATTTCCACCAAACATTAAGAATTCCTTTTCTTTTTGTTGTAGAATTTGCTTCTGTCCACTTTATGTACATATATATGTATATATATATATATATATATATATATATATATACATATATATATACATATGTATATATACATATTATATATACAGGATGCACCAGAAAGATGGATACCCTTATCTCGAAGGGATGACGTTTTTGAAAAAATGTTAAATACAAAAATTTCCAGATTCACTGTTTGAAATTTCGAAAGGTCATCAAGTTAACAAAAATCAGAGCATTGTAACAGCACATTATTGAGACCAAATAGACTGAAAGAGTCTAATATCACTTTTCCTTCCAACAAATAATTACCGAGATATTGTAAATTTTTAAGTATTGGAAAAGTTATCAAGTTTTCCTGAAATATCTTAAAAAATATTAGGCAAATAAAAAAATGTTTTAGACAAAGGTCGTTCAAATTAATTGGTAGAAAAGGATGATATAATAAAAAATGGGGATTTTCGATTTTAAGGTTGACCTTGATTTGACCTCTTAAATTTGAACCCTAGGTCAAATTCAAGTTCACCACTAGATGCCCAGTTCCAAACTCTAAAACTGTTATATTAAACATTTTTTATTTTCAAAAACGTCCTTCCCTTCAAGTTAATCCATCTTTCTGGTACATTCTGTTCATATTCGTGCACGCGTAGTCTATATGTGAAACATAACAATGTAAGTAACGATTATTTTCGTCACCGTTATCCGCAAGGTGTTAATTACATTATCGTTACCGCACACTACTGCGGATAAAAATAACGTCGTTATCATGTTGTTATTGAAGACAAAACAGCTTGTTACGGTAATGTTATTACAAGTAACGCGTTACGTCTTAATCGGATTTTTGGCTACTCAATTACCTAAGCTTCCGAGTGTTCACACAATCTATGCGGCGATTGATGCGTTAATCAGTCCGCTCGCTCGTGTTCCAGGCTGAGCGAGCAACAGCTCGACGCGAGAAGGCGCGGCCTGGAGCAGTACCTGGAGAAGGTGTGCGCAGTGCGCGTGATAGCGGAGAGCGACGCTATGCAGGAATTCCTGACAGACAGGTTGGAGGAGGACGGGGATCAAGGACCAGCGGTGGATCTGAAGGTTCTTTTGCCGGATCGCGAGGTCGTCACCGTCACGGTCCTCAAGGCCGCGTCGGTGAAGGACGTCTACGACGCGGTCTGCTGCCGAGTCGGCCTCGACTCGGAGACGGCCAAGTACTTCTATCTCTTCGAGATCGTGGAATACAATTTCGGTACGCGCTCTGACCAGTCGCCGTGAGCGTTTCCGCTCGGACGTGTGATCCGGTACTATTAATAGCGCGTCTCTGCGACATGTAAAACATCGTCGATGCGTTTCAGAGCGGAAGCTGCAGCCGCATGAGCACCCGCATACTCTGTATATTCAGAACTACTCGACCGCCAGCGCGACGTGTTTGGCGATACGGAGGTGGCTCTTCAATGTAAATAGGCCTCTGAGCGAGCAGGCGTTAACTTGGATATTCTGGCAAACGGTCGACGAAGTTAATAGAGGTCACATTACCGCCGGTGAGAGACTGTATCAGTTGAAGGCTCTGCAGGACGCGTCTAGGAAGCACGAGGTACGTTGGGAAATTGACACGAAATTGCTTGTCGCGCATCTTCTCCAGTCGGTTATTAAGTAAATAAACAATCTTTATCATTTTTACTTAAACGCGGATAATTTAAAACTTAACTTTGAATCTAGAAGATGAGAAGATTATTAAAGACCGGGTTGCTGATTGTTATGCAAAAATTGATCACAGTGTAGATTGCAAATCTACTGTTTACCAGCGATGTGTATTATTTAAAAAAAAACAAAAACGAGAAATGCGTTTTCAGTAAATCTGTGGTCTGAGTTTATTAATAATAAACAGTTGCAACATTTATCAGTTGGTTAATTGATAAACTGTTTGTTAACCATGCTAAGACTAACCTCCTAAGAATATACAATTTAGTACCAGAAAATTATGTATTGCAATACAGATACATCTCAATAGTAACTAAATAACATATAGTTGAAAAACAAAAAATAAATAAAAATAGTCACGTCGCAGTAATAATAAAGAACGATTAAAGTATAATCAAATTATTACGGCAATAACTGGATGCACAAATTAGTTATAAATTTTTGTTATCTACAGTGATCAATTTATGCGCATCATTATCAGCGATTTGGATCTTATTAGGCCTTGCTTTCTTTTTTATTTTCATATATTTCCATTTTATTTCGTTCTACAGTATCTAAAGCTGGCAAGGGAGCTCAGCGGATACGGAGACATCGTGTTCCCGCATTGCACGTGCGACTCGAGGAAAGAAGGTCACGTGGTGGCAGCGGTGGGTATGGCGGCGTTCAAACTGCACGCCGCGAAGGAGGACGGCACGTTGGAGTCGCAAGTGGTAGAGTTTCAGTGGAACACCATCACCCGATGGGAGGTAGACGAGGACGGGATGGCGTTCTGTTTCCAATACACTCGCCAAGAAAATCGTCCGCCACGTTGGCTCAAAGTCTTCACTCCTTATGTAAGTATGACGACTTCAGCACGGTGCAGCTCTATGCTCACGCGTGCGTTTATATAATAAGCTCGTCGCCTCTAATTTGTATCTGATGATGTGCTTGCAGTATACGTTCCTCTCGGACTGCTTTGACCGAATAGCCGAGGAAGCAAAATGGGACGATCCAGGGGAATGACGTAATGCTCGACGCTAAGTAGCGCATCCGGTGTGTGACGTTGAGGATGTTTCCAAACAAATATCCCCGCATTCGTGTCTCTCCGTAGTCGAAATTTTTTACTAGGATTAGTCCTTTAAACCGACACAAGAGTCAGCGTAGTACTATTAGCATATCAGATTTTTCTATCTGTTGGCTTCGCGAAACGTTACGTTAAGACTACGTTAGCAACGTTACACCGGTAGAGGAACGGTGTTTGTGTGAACATACGTTGTCGTCGCTGAGGTGTCGGTGAAAAGTAGCCGGAAGAGCAAACGAAAGCACGAAAGAAACGAAGAATATATAGAGACTCGACGGGTGTGAAATGCGAGTTAGAAAAAGATTCGTTCACGCACGAGATTTGAAAGAAAAAAAAGAAGGAGGGAGAGGAAGAAGCAGATGCGATGTGTAAATTTAGGCCGAATTTATCACACACCATGCTCGTCCATGACGATTGCTGAATTGTGATGTGGTTCGCTTCGACTGAATGTGTAAAGAAATAAATTCATCTTTATGCAAAGAGAGAGAGAGAGAGAGAGAGAGAGAGAGAGAGAGAGAGAGAGTATAGTTTTAACAACTTCGTTTCGTCGACAAAATGCGCGCCACTCCTTCGTTTCATCGCGAAAAGGGGAGGGGGAGGAAGGGCGAACATTTTGCGAGCGAGCGTGCAACACCCGAAAAAAACATAAGAGAATTAAATAAGTGTGTAGGTGTGCGGGCTATTATTACGGAGATACGGTCGCCCGTCTATAGAGAGACCACCTATCCTTTGGCCTATAAGTTCTACATAGCGTATAATTCCGTCATCAGAGCGAAAGAATCGATTGAATTACGTAAACGTTCCTTCTCGTTCGCCTAATAGATCTTAAACTTTCCTCCGTTTTGATCTACATGAGTAGTACCGATCGAGCGAGCGAATCACGAGGCGAATTGTGTGCGCCACGAGGTGTCTCGTGGAGATTTTCAGTACGCAATATATTTCATAAACGTAGCGCGGGTTTATCGATTCGTTACGCAAGGTACTTTGATGTGAGAGACGTTACCGTCGCGTGTTTACGAAGGAGTTCATCGAATTCTAGAGAGTACAAGGAGAAGAGAGATTGGTTGAATCGGAATAAGTTAGGTTCCCAAGGACCAGAACTTTTGTTTCCTTCAACCCCAAAGCACAATGAAATGTTTTGATGAAACAAAAATAGAATTTCTCACTTGCATGAGAAATATCAGTTCTTAAGAATCAGAGGTTCCCTTTCCAGTTCCTCGATCAAAACACAACTAAATACGTTTCCGTCGGAGGGAACAGAGTTTCTGGCGAACGTAACCAACACGAGACACGACTAAATGAGTATTGGTTGAAGGAAAATAGAATTTCTGATCCTTATGAGATTCAATTCCTCGGTAGCAGATTCTGTTTCCTTTAACAAAAGCGCAGGTAACTTCGCCGTTATCACGTGGTCAGTTCTTTTATCGCTGAACTAGTCTACACTGTCGAAATTTAAAAAGAAACAGGCAGTTGAGACTCAGTGGATACGAAAGGAAAAGACCCAGTCAGAAGCATAACGTTGATTCGCCGTTGATTTGGCGTCGAAATGGTCAATGAAATGTTGAATTTAACGTTAATTCAACCCTCATCGACGTCGAATCAACGTTGTGCTTCTGACTGGCGAGAACTAACGCAAGCTGGTGCCAGAGGAAGTGCAGCGGTAAAGAACGAGCCAACGTTAATTCAAGCAATCTTTCCTCCGTGTATCAATAGGCACGTTCGACTAATTGCGCCGCGACTCACAAGCTCCATTCGTGTATGTTGAAACACAAAGTTTCCAAGACGGAGAGCAAGGGACTCGCGAGTTCCCGACAAATTAGATACATATCACAGTCGGTTCATCGATCTGACCCCGATATAAACACGAGCGTGTATTCCTTTCTATTCGAGCTACCTTGTGCAACGAATGGGATTCTTAGAACACACGCGCGGCTAAGGCTAAAGTTTTACACGCGCGGCCGTGCGTCGAGATCAGTCCTCTACACATTCCTGTGTATTTCGTCGGCGTCGTCTAGCATACTGTTGTTAATAAAAAAAGGAGAGAAAAATTGTAAATATGTTGCGAACGTACTTTTCAAGACGGAACCTAGTCATTTCGTTAAGACGGCTGAACAATCTCGTCTCCGCGGAACCATGTTAATCGCCGGATATACACCGCGTCGTTCCGTGTCCACAGGAGCGCAGTGATTTATCAATTAACTACGCGAGCTGCGCGCGTAAATCACGAGCGTGTGCAGAGGATTGCGTGCAGCAGGAGGCCGCGGATGAGCCGTCTTCGGACTCGGTATGCTCGGTCGAAACTTCATCGGGCTACTACTCCCTCGTCACATGATAAATTTATAAAGATATACTGTGTGCGCGACACACACGCATACATACATACATATATATATACACATACATATAAATATAGAAAAAGCGTGCGGCATTAGAGTGCTCACCGCCCGTATAAATATATACATACATGCAGCGCGTAAACTGTGTACAGAATTTAATAGAGGAAGAAAGAAAGAGAGAGAGAGAGAGAGAGAGGAGGGGAAGGGTGGGAGGGAAAGAGAGGAGGGGGATTATAAAGACTCTGAACAATAATATAATAAGCTTGCATGACGCGTATAACGGTTTTCTTCTGTATTATTTGAGAAAAAATAATACACTGATAACTTCTGTCTGAAGGAAGAAAAGCGTTAAGACAACGTTCGAAGGAGATATTACGGTAACGGCAGCAAGTAAGAAACATAATATACGAATAATGTTAGCAGCACTCATATTCCGGACGACGCGTCGGCGGACGCCCCGCGATCACGCGCGCCGATCCGTTTGGTGGACTCGCGAGCGAGGAGCGAATATTGCGAGCGAGTTCCCCATTCGCACGTTATGCCCGACACGGTGATGATGAGCGCACGCGCGTTTGGTTTCGCCCTGGCCGTTCTTTTCTTCTCGTCTTTGTTCGTTCCTAAACATTCTGTGTCTTCTGTCGCAACGGAAACCCGCTTGAAACCCGCTCGTTCTCAACGATTCGCTTGATTTAGCCGCGAGCAGTCCCGGTGATAGCTGATAAATAGGGAGATAGATATTATATATAATTATCTCGTTAACGTTTTTAAACTTTATTCTGTGGCGTATCGAGTGGCGGCGGCGAGTGGCGAGTGCGCGTGACTGTACAAGAATCTAACGATGCGTGTGAGAGAGAGAGAGAGAGAGAGAGAGAGAGAGAGAGAGAAAGAGAAATTATATATACAAATATATATATATATATATAGTACATATAGATTATATATATGCTCTCATGCACAGAGAGAGCATAGTTATAATACTGTTATAACGAGAATAGAAGTATAGTATAGTGTAATTATTAATGAACGCGCGTGCACACGAGTATCCGGATGAACATATGCCAGGGCAAGTGTCCCGACGTTATTCGGAAAGATTTCCGACTGGGAATTTCGAGTTTTTCCCCTAGAAGACGCAATAGAAGTCTAGGGAATGATTCGCGCGGACATACATTTTGTTTCGAAAAGAAATATGTCGAAATTTAAAAAAGGCGACAATTTTCTGAGAATTTGAACTTGTACGTTGTACAGCCGGGTGCACTAATATCTACTCTCTTGAATGCAGCAAAATTAAAATAGCAAAACGAATAGATATTAAAAAAAAAAGAACATCTGCTGTCCCCTGAAAAAAATGTATGGAAATTTAAAAAGCAGCACGGCTTTTCCTGAAAAGTCGTAATACCGAAATCCGAGTACCAAAACGATCTCCGCGAATACAATTCTCTGGAAAATAGTGGAATTTTCTCGTTGTACAGTCGGGTGTATTAGTATTTACTCTTTGAAATACATCCAGAGTGTATTCGGACGATTAGATATTGATATATTCATGTTTCTTTTTTTTCTTTTTGGATAATACAGCTTTCTCGAGAGGAGAATTGCACTTCGGGATTTTTTCTCGGTATTTGGATTTTGGTATTACGACTTTTTTTTGGGATACTTCGGTTTTCGAACTCCGGGATTTGATTTTTCAGGACGATGCATATTTCGAGAAATAAAGCGATTTCCGTCGGAAAACTTCTCGAATAGAGTTTCATGACACCAGATCAATCGGTCGATGTGATACATTCGCGCGTACACCAACCATATTCGATCGAGTGTGTAAGACAGTTATAAGAATGGCTTTCGATGATCGTTTCATCGTGAGAAGAAGGAGGAGGAGAGGGCAGTCTCTACCGAGAGAGCTGTGCAAAATGATCTGTGAGTTGTAGTTAGCAATATGCGCGTGCGAAACATAAAGTACCGGTGATAAATAAACGAATCGGATCTTTGGACAAATTCCTGGCATCTTGTTGCATAATGTATAATAATTAAAATACCCTGTGGAGAATTTCTCGGGAATAGATATTGGCAGTTGATAATTATATTGTTACACTTGCGGTGCATGTACAGTGCGAAATCCGAAGATCTCGTTCGTATTACCGGCGATGGGAGAACTCGAAGGTTACATAATCTTTGATGTACTATTAGAAGTGTGATTTAATTTTGAGGGTTTTGCAAGAGATGGCACTAATGTTAGCTTTGTCGAAGACATTCTAATCACAGCTATTGTTTCTTAATGCTTTAATATTAATTCATGATATTTAGTCATTTACTAACAATAGATGCACTAAAAGTCGTGTTAATATCATCTTAAAAATGGAGTTTCCTAAAGAGCATTTTCGACACGCGTTACTTTTGTTTCTTAATCAGAAGGAAACGGCGGTTGAAGGTCATGGAATTCTGATAGAAATTTATGGTAGCTCCCTATGATGTTGCTCCCTTAATTAAGACAAATGAATATTGGTTTAGACGATTCAAAAGTGCTGATTTCAATGTTAACGACAAACATTGCTCGGGATAACCGAGAAAGTTTGATAACGCCGATTTGCAAGCATTATTGGACGAAAATGCGGGACGGTCCACTTCAGAACTTGCCAGAACATTAAATATTAATCGTACAACAGTTACTAAACGTTCACATGATATGGGAAAGATTCACAAAGAAGGAAAATAGGTTCCACATGAATTATCGGAAAATGTCTCTGCGAACCGGTTGAACATTAGCATTTCGTTGATCGTCAGATAAAAAATGAAGAGTCTTTTGTATCGAACTGTTACTAGAGAAAAATGAATCTGTCTCGATAATTCCAAACGATAAAAATCATGGGTTGATCCAGGCCAACCAGCAACATCCACTTCGAAGCGCAATATTCATGGCTCAAAGGTTGCTGTGTATTTGATGGGATCAAGAAGGTGTTGTGTACTAAGAACTGTTAAATTCGAATAAAACTGTCACCTATGATCATTATCGACAACAATTATACAAATTGAAGCGTGCATTGGACCAAAAGCGATCACCATTTGCAAGTAAACAACGCAAAGTGATCCTTCTTCACGACAATGCTCGACCTCATATTGCATTATCAGTGAAGTAAATGCTATTAGAGCTGGAATGGGAAGTCTTACTGCACCCCGCGTATTCTCCAGACATTGCTCCATCCGATTATCACTTGTTCTAGTCGATGCAATATACTCTAGAGCAGGGATTTCCAGTCGGGGGTGTGAGGAAAAGTGATTGTAATTAATAATGATTAAGATGAATTTTGGAATAATCCGGCATTTTATCATTAAATAAAAAAAAATGTTATTTAAATTATATATTGTTTATGTATCTGTACGTATATATTTATCACGTATCACTATGAGAAGCTTGATATCATGAATAATAATTTTATATTATAATATTAAAATAATAGTTAATTTCTATAAAACAATACTATGTAATAATAAATTATTATAAATTAACTTCTTACCTTAAAACCCTAACAACTAATTTTTACCATAAAACATGAATAATTATTTTTTTTGTAGAGGGTGCGAAGGTTCGTTAATAAATTTTTAGGGGTGCGAAATACAAAAAACCCTGTTGGGAAACCCTGCTTTAGAGGATACACACTTTCATAACTTTGAAGAAGTGAGAAAATTTGTTGAAAATTGCATCAACTCCAATGAAGAATCTGTTTATAGTTGCGGAATCCATCTCTTGTCAGGAAGATAGGAAAACGTTGTGGAAAACGAAGGAAAATATCTTGATTAAGGCATTTGTCCATTATTTTGTTCAAGTAAATTGGTTTCTGAGAAAAAGTAGCCCTCAAAACGAAATCACACTTCTAATATTTTATCGATTGATCGAGTAATCGCGGACGATTGATTTTCGAATTGCGATACGATAGAGAGAAAGAGCCCGTGGCGCCGCGTTGGAGTGGCCGCGCCTGTCTGGAGGATGGCAATAATATTCGCGAGGAGACCGTGTCGCATAAAATCGTCAGTGGTTGATATTTTCTCGGAGAACCGTGCGATGTGTAATCGCTGAGGATACGTCCAAGCCGAATTCGAGACAATTCCGATGCGAGCAATCTGAAAAGATAGCCAGATCGGTGATACTTCGTCCAGTTTCGTGAAATTACTTTGGTATTTCGCAGTATTTGAATCGCAATTCGCGCGATGATTTCTCTTCTTTCTTTTTTGCGGTAGCTTAGTACCGCGTCCGAAGTGTCGCCTCTCGGGGTAACGTGTTTGATGACGGAACTCTTATTTATTTGGTGAGTTTGTGTGTATCTCATTTATGATCGGGAAACTTCGACAAATTCACAACACGCTTGTGAGAACGAAAAGAAAGAAAAAATGTGATTTAAGTGAGGATTATTCGCTGATTGGTTGATTGATTGATTGATTGATTGATTGATTGATTAACGAGCCAACAAAGCCTGTCAGGCCGAGAGTGTGAGACGAATTAGATAGTATAATTTAATTATTGTTATTGCGAGACCATATCATTACGGTTAACTGTTTAGGCGTTAATTATTAAAACATTATGTATAATCATAGTACGTAATAACGGATGCTCCAATTTATCATATAACATCAGTTCGCGTAATTTTGCTGTAAAACTAGTATTTCGAATTAGCGAAAAAAGGTATTACTCGATTTCTTTATGAGAGAAAGAGAGTGAGTGAGAGAGAGAGAGAGAGAGAGAGAGAGAGAGAGAGAGAGAGCCATCATCTTGAGAAGCGGAAAATAAAAATAGATGAAATGCGATTCCTCGTTTTCCTTTTCTTCGTTCTCTCTCTTGGCGGAATATCCCGTCTCTCTCGCTGTAATCGTAACTATGTGTATGTGTACGCGCGCGTGTGACGTCACACCGTAGATGGTACAACTCGTCGACGATCCATAATCCTAGCAGCGGACGTACATAAAAATATGCACCTCGGCAGTCTCTCATATCGATACACTCACGTAACGATACAATTATTGCGTAACTCGGTAATCTAAAATGTACCCAGTGACGTAACGCGCTCTCGCGTGCTCAGGTAAACAATGTCGAGCGAGTCTCCGCGCGGATTAACACGACCGCTTTATCGCCTCGAAGCCTCGCGAGCGGATTGAAAAACGAGAAACTTCAGTCGTGACTTCAGGCTTGCGAGTCTCGCCGTACCTTTCTTCTTCATTAACTCACGCGTCACGTTCCGGGAAAATTATTTGCGCGTAAGAAATAGTACAGACGCGCGAATTGACGGCGAGCCGACGACGTGGTCGCGCGCTGTCGCAGTAACTCTCGCGCACGATTTGAAAAGAATATTGGAAATAAAATAAAGAAATTGTTCTTTTTCTAATTTTAGCTTCTAAATCACTTTCATGAAAAACTATGGCGAGAAAAATTGAAACGATTGCAGGTTGATCGTAAAAAGAAATCAGAATCGTTGATCATTGAGATACGCATTGACGCAGTCCTACCTTGAGATTATCGCAAGCGAGATACTCAGATTTCACTTCAAGGTTAGGTATGAATGAATAAAAACCAGGTGTGTGTACAATATAATGAAATAATTGAAAAATAATTTCGTTAATACTAAGGAAACGACGTATACATAAGATGTCCAGATGTTAGTAAAAACAAAAGTTAAAGACTATCTTCGCGCTGAAAATAAACGAAATTATCTAAAGCCGAGCAGCTGGAATGAATTGAAATTCACTTTCCAATGTGTGTTTGAACGAAATTACAAAAATGTAAGATTGTCGTCGCGCGAAGGGTAAACAAAATTGCCTGAAGTCGAACGTAATGCAGTTAGAGAGAATTCCCGTTCCGATGTGTATCCCAACGAAACAGAAGCATCATTGGGCGGAAAATAACAAGCGTGACTGAAGTCAAGTGTAAAATAGTCAAAAAAGATCCACATCTGATATGACGCAAAAATGTAAGGTTATCGTCGTATGTAAGAGCGAGCAATATGAATTGAACTCGGTCGTGAAGCGGTCAGAAAAGACTGAAATTCACATTCCCATATGTTCCAACGAAACCAAAATATAAAATTACCACCGGACGAGGAGCAAGGAACAAGATCGACCGAAGTGTCAAGTGCAAAGCAGTTCGAAAGAATTGAAATTCCCATTCGGCTATATCCTGCCGGGGCAAAAGCGAAGTCTTATCGTCGCGCGAGAAATAACAAAACTGAGTTAAGCTGAACGTGACAAAAAACTGCGATTTACGTCCCGATGCACTCGAGCAGAACAAAATTGCGGAGGATTGTCGTCGCAAGAAGGAGCAGATAAGACTGACCGAAGTCAGGCGTAAAGTAGTCAGAAAGGATTGAACTTCCGACTCTAACGCGACACGCGACAAGGGCGCGGAATGGCGCATAATACGCGATTAATATTTTTCGCCGAGATTGCATTGCTATCTCCGCAAGTGAGGCTAAGTCCTCCGTCATAAACTATGTAAGCACAAACAAACATCGAACTGGGTCGTTTACGGTGTACTGGCGACCATGCGAGATTAGCGCGCGTTCGTGTGCGAGAGCGCACAAACTGGATACATTTCTACACAATGTACCTTTGTAATCGACGTGTGCAGACTTGTGTGTATATATACCGAGCTTGTGTGCGCGATACCGATACATAGGAGGTACTCTAAGAAGATATCGCTAAGTGGCTGCCGATATACGGGACGGCAGACCAGTTTAAGACCACCTGCCCCAGTAGGTGGAACACTCCGTGCGGAGTAATCGTTTAGCGGTGATCGCGGGTTTAATCGCCGATCCGCCGTTGAGAACGGAACCTTGGCCGGGACGATTGTCGCGGCCCGAAGGAGAAATGGATTCGACCCGAAAAAAGAGAAAGAAGGCGCGCGACGAGAAGGTAATCAGTTCGCTCCGATTGGATCGGATCTCGTGCGGGTTTAATCGGTAGCTCGGCACCGTGACAATTCCGATCTCCTCGTCGTGAGACACTAGGAACTCCTTCTTTCCTTATTTTTTGTTTTTTTTTTTTTTACGTAATCGACGTTTGTCACTGCAATGATGTCACAAGCTTCTTCGTAAAACGAGTCGTCTCCTTGAGAAGTTATTGATGGTCAGTTCTTGGAAAATTTGAAACAAGATGTGAGAGCCTGGGTGATAACAGGTGATATCACGTAATATGGGTTCTTAAAGGACCTTCCTCCTTTTTCAATTTTTTATACTGAATATCTCAGAGTATTCCTTATCCGTTTCATTTAGTAGTCAGATGTGAGTTATATCATAATACATAATATTATATGATAAATTAAATAATGATTATATCGCGGTAGATTACGCGATATGTGCAGAACGCTGAATAATTGAATAGATTTTTGAATTTGGAAATGCCCGTCTTATCTATGACGTTCGCCAAGATAACAATCGAAGAAAATCGACAGTCGGCATAGAGCTTTAAATTACACTTCGACGCGCGTTGTTCAAGGCTTCAGTTCAAGTGTTCAAGTACATCACTGAGTTCATCGATAGATATGCCACGTTTGTTTTAATATATTGAAGCAACGAGGAAAATCTTCGTGTGCCCTCGATGAGACATCGCAGCCATCGAAGGAAAATACACGAGGAGAAAGGCGCGCTGTTCTCCCGCGTTCATGATTCTACGAACATTTCTTCGTGCACGGTCCTCACGTCCTCCAATGCTTGCGAGGCAGAGCCGCATGAGCGAAGTGATCGCGGAAAGGCAAAAATGTCCGTGGAATTTTTTGTACTTGTCTATCAGACATCATGTCTTACGTCATGTATGTCATGACATTACAATCAGGAATACTTGTACGATTTTTAACCTCGAATATTTATGCATGAAGCCGAAAATGGTAGGAAATCCTACAAGTGTTAAGTGTTAAGTTACATATGACGTTTAGCGCTCATACATCTGCTTTAATTACTACTGTTCAAAAAACAATGACTTTACGCTAGAAGTCAAGACGGTTTGCAAGAATGAAAATGCATAAATTGACGCCACAATGGACGAACGTCGAGAGTGTTTTCCCGTTCTGTAACACTTAAGATAATTGATTCGCAATCATACCATTGGAAAAATTAGCCATACGATGGGAAGAAAGAGTCGAATATTTCAAGTGAAATATATAATACGTATATACCTTAAAAATGCGTCGCATTTAATACTTTAATAAGAGAGAACACGAGAAGAGAAGTCTAGCCATACTTCCCATGATTGTAACGAAGTAATTTGTTTTGGCTTATCAGCGCAAACTTTTGCTGGAAATCGCATGTCTCTATTAACAACTACACGTATAAAAATGATTCATTTCGATACACGCCTGTCAATATTTGTTCTCTCCTCCAATTTGTTCTAACTAGAACATTTTTATTTTTCTAATACCTGGTTTTTGACGGTACTTAAAATATTTCTATAAACTGCAAAATTTTATAATTATCAAGACTAAAATTCCTATTGAAACATATATTATGTAGGATATTCAGATCTGAATTTAGAACGAAGCGAGTTTTTCCAGTTGAATGGACTTTGTCATTATGTCAGTCATGTGATATAACAACTCTATTTGTACTTGCGATTTAACTGACAAATTTACATCTAACTGTACACTCAAAACTGAATATTTCATTATTAATATTAAAATCAATTTACTGCGAGAAATTACTGCGATCTATTTTTACCGTAGCGGTCGAAATGAAAAGTTTTTGAAAAAAAGTACATTATACAAGAACAAAAATTTTTATTTATTTCTTTTGATTTCATTGACAATCCACTAAAAATACAAAATGTATCGTTATATAAAAATTTGAATGATCTCTATATAAAAAAAGAAAACAATCATAAATTGGTCATTTTGTACCGCTTGATAATTCCAGCATTAATATAGTAAATGATCAATAATTCTGATTTTTTTTGCATAATGTCGGTGTATTGATTTTGAGTATAATGCATTTTCATTGATATCTTAAACGTGATTCGAAAGTTAAAATTAAAAATAGAACTCCCTAACGTCCGTACGGCATATAAAAATGTGTGTCAAATGTGTGCCAAACTTTAGTTGCAAATATTTCGAACGGCCAGTAATTTCCTAATTGCGCAAATAGTCAGGTAATATTTCAATCGTTAGTCTACTTAACAACGAGTTGCTAAGAAATTCGCTTGGAACGAGGCAACCACCTTGATGTGTCGAGCCAGAAGCAGCGCTCGTGCGCGATGACATAACGCCCGCATAAACAATTGCCAGTTACGGATAACGCATTATTGCGCACGGCGGAGTTAGCAGAAACAAATTGGGCTGTCAGTCTGTGCGGCGTGATTCATTCGATCATGCAGATGTCAACCGCTAAAGGTGTCGGGTAATTGTCAAAGAGTAAAATTGTATTCCCCGAGAATGATTCATGCATTCGGCTGAAAAACGTCGACTGCAGCATGACCGTCCTAGTGGCACGTGACATGATGAATTCAAAGTCACGTACAAATCGCCGTGATCATAAATAAACGTAAGAGCCAAACTTGAGCTGAAGAACCATCGAGAAGTTGCTTTAGATTTTCCATAAGATGGGAGAAGATCTTTTGATCTTGAAATCTTAGCTGTTCATAGTCAAACCTGCTCATACTCAAATTACTCATCGTCGTCATTTGTTTCTCCCGCCAGCGCGCTTAGACCTAAAACAATATCCTCATTGGTTCTTCAACTTAACTTTGTCTTACGTTTACGGCAATTTAGTTGCCGTAAACGTACTCTTACTCCACCAGAGATAACAGTCACGGCAATAAGTCCGAGTCGGATCCGTCGTCGCTACGAGCGACAGACGCGTGCTTATATTGTCTAAAGAGAAAAAGAAAGTAAAATCGTTTCAGAACATCTTCGATGTTCAGATTGAGATCGAGATCCAACGATACACTCCCGAGAGACTTTCCTCGCCCCGCCACGTCCTCCATTAAGGGGATTGGAAAGTCAGATTGCTGAAAAATCGCGCTTGTTTTTGATAATATTTTGTGACGAACTAAATAAATGTGCAAGAATGAAAATTTTATATATATTTATACAACGTATGAAGAATAGAAAAATTTTGTTTTTAAACAAATACTCATATAAATATACTCCTACTTAAATTTTAAATGCGTTTTTCTCGAAATTTTATTGTTCAATCTTTTGCAGTGATTTCTCCGAAACTGAGTTTCGTATCGATTTGAAATTTTAAAGCAATAATATTTGTTCATGTGGCTCTGAGGTGAGACATGAACAACTCCGTCAAAATATTTCATTTCGAGATATTAATTCTTTTATTGTAAAAGAACTGAAAAATTTGAATTTTTTCATAATAATAGCTGCCATATTGTTAATTTTGTTCGAATCTTTTTTCTAGTGGTTTACTGGATAATGATAATCCTCCTCAAGATTTCTAGCTAAAATTCGCTCTAATTGGACCACCGAGAGCCGAGATATTATTGCAAAAACGATAACTTGAAAGAAAAAAGGAAAGTATATTTCAGCTATATATATATCGTATGTTTATACGAGTATTTGTTAATAAACAAAATTTTTCTATTCTTCATATGTTGTATAACTATACCTAAAATTTTCATTCTTGCACATTTATTCAGTTCGTCACAAAATATTATCAAAAATAAGCACGATTTTTCAGCAATCTGATCCTCCAGTCCCTTTAAACTGGACTCAATTTCTCATCGGACGCGATTGTTCCTGCGGAAGTCGGAGAGTCTCCTCTTATTCTCCTTTCTTCTTCTTCCCCCCACAAAGACTGAAAGGGGAAGACCTCGGAATTTGCCCCACCGCCATGTACATCTCTCGTCACGAGTGCCTTCATAGCGCTGAGAGACCACCACATCTCGATAGAGCTGCAGAGAGCATGTCCACCGCGGATAACTTTAACGAGACTCAATGAGCCCGCTCCCACAGACGGTTCCAGCGATCGTCATCTCCCCGTCCCGCCTGTCCCCTGCTGCTCAGACCTCTCTGATCGGTTCCATCTCTGTTCTGCGACGCAGAAAGTGCTGCTATCCATCGTCGATCCTTGGGACGTAAAAGTAGCCAGTATCAATCCGGTTGGACTAGCCGCGCGACGAGGCGTCTCTCTGTCTGTCTTGTCTTCGAGTCAAGACAAGGCCAGTACCGAGCAGGAATGGCCGAACTTGACCAAGACTTTCAAGAGCTCCGGCTCCTGGGTCAAGATACCGTCGCCTTGGTACAAGCCTGATAGCAGCCCCACCGGTCACGTCAATTCCGCCAACTCCGAGGAGACCACGCTGATCGACACGAACCTCCTGCATCCTTGGTACACGCCGCAAAGGTACCGGCCGGCTTTCATCTTCTCGTCCTATTGAGGTCGACTCACGTGAAGAGATCAGCACGGAGGCAAATTCCGAGCCGCCTCCGGTTGATACGCATGAGTCTTCATGGTAGGAAGTGCGCGATCGCGCGCGGCAATTTCCAGGCTCGATACTGCTCTCGATAATAAACGTGTTTAACGTGCAGAGTCTCGTGTAGCTTCGCTAACAATGATGTGTATGATTTAACATTTATTCGACAACACGTGCAATGACATTAATTTATATCAGTTAGAGACACAGAATTAACATTATTAGGAACACCTTGCGGATTTGATGATGTTGTGGCTTGCATTAATGCTTTAAACTTGCAATTGCGAGTTAGTTTAAATTAATTTAAACCTACATATCGAAACTCGAATTTAGAGTTTGATGTGAATTCATCAGTAAAATCGCGGTTGCAAATATAAATCTAATGGAACATCGTAGTCAGTAAATATAAAAACGAGTATATATAGAGTGTTAAGAAAAAAGGTTCAGCTCTTTAAGCGCATATAGTACTCACAAAAAGTTCCAATAAATATGCGTTGAGAAATTAATATCGTCGCAGTTATGAACAATTATTTATTTTAATTAAAGCAAGCTCACTTCTGGAGCTTTTGTATTCTCTGATGTAATTTGTCTGTGTCATTTATTGGCAAAGAAAGTACCATGCTTTAAAGGAATCCCTAAAAAAGGTTCCTCCGTTCTTGCTCGGAATACAAATTAACATTTATTTTCTTCCCATTTATGCACACCCTTCATAAAGCAATTGTTAGTCACTTATCCTCGTGAACAGTGAACAGTTGCATAGAATATTTACCGCAAAGTTTTCATAGTACGGTAAGAATGACGGTCGTATTATTCTAACCAAAAAATGGCAGAAATGTACTTCATGTATGGCCGTGCACCAGAAGCGGATAAGTCGCTTGCTTTAATGAAAATAAATAATTCTTCATAATTCCGAATATCCATTTTTCGACCCGTGCTTATTGGAACTTTTTTCCTCCATTTTGTGCCCTTAAAGTTCTGAATTCTTTTTTCAAACACCCTGTATATATGTATAAAATTATACAATTCAACTGAAAAACTCGGGTCTCTCTTTCTCTCTCGCTCTGAATTCAGATCTGTGTATCTCACACGAAACGAGTCTCAAGTCACGACTATTAACCGAGATGAATCGATGTGTCAGGATGATAATTGCTTGATATGAATTACTTAACGATCCCAGGATTCCCCGATGCATTTCACAGATCGCCCGTGAACGCGACGCGCAAATCCTCGTCGCTGAATCCATCCAGAGAGAGACTGCGGGACAGCGGCAGGCGCGCGAAGGAAGACAACAAGACAGAGCGCGACGCCGAGGCGGACGAGGTCGACGGTGGATTAATCAACGGCACGCAGGAAATTAGACGCGACGATTCCGATGACGCGGACGGCACCGCAGCGTCGGCGGCGGCAGCGCGGGTGCGTTTCGAGATCGGCAGAGCGCGGCCGAAGCGGAATGAAGTGCGATGTGAGAACGGCCAAGGTGTTGACGACGCGTCGCGCGTGTTGATCGACAGTCCAAGTGAGAACGATCATTTGAACAAGTCCGAGCACGCATCGCCAGCGATCGCGAGGTGGAATGCAGTCGAGCATCAGCGATCGCGAGGTGGAATCGCGCAAACGGAGTGGCCGTGGAAAAGCGAGAGAGTTCGCGAAAGACGGACGACGCGGAGCAAAATGGTGACTCTCGAGTAGCCGAAGAGGAGCCTATGGTCGTGAACATCGTCCAGCACTTGGTGGAATCCAGGTAATTACATAGCGGAGGCGGTACAAACGTTCGCATCGATTTGAGATGCGAAGAGGAGATGGATAAAACCAGTGAGAAATTGTCATTATTATATTATATATTTCGTCGCATTATTTATTATATACTCTTTGGCTTTTCTCAAGACAATTTTAAACTCCGAGCTTATTTCTAATAATCCTAATACTCAATTTTGTTTAAAATAAACGGATAGAACGTGAGTGGAAAAGAAAGAAATGAAAAGAAATGATGAGAGACGGAGAAAAACAAATACAAACTGAATAGAGAAAATGGATTAAATAAATTTTACTCTGAATATTCGCCCTCCTAATAATATCAATTTTATTCTTCATCACTCACAGAGAACGTCGCAATTTTCTTTGCTTTTCTTTTCAAGATACAGCCCACAAACTGCGACGGACAGAAGATTAAAAAGAATGCCATCATGCCGACGACAAGAAGCGCCGAAAGAAATAGATCCAGTGGGTAAGATGGCGGATGTCTTTATGTTAACGATATCACGCAAGTCGACGGTACAGGCTCATTCGACGACAGTTACGTCGGGATTAAAGCGAGATCTTCTGGTAATTTGGGCTTGTTGGGGTTGTTCAAGATCAGCCAATTTGCCAGCCATAGCACAGGATCGGCCGGTTTAGTTTTGCAACACTGTAAAGTAGAATTCGTTCGATCATGCACGGTCGTTCAATCGTCGCAGATAAGCGAAGGTATTTATCCGTTAGAGATAAGGAAATTTTTATTACAAGGGACGCCACACTCTTACCAAGGTTAAGCCTTCAACGAGAACCGGATTAATGACCTCCCACAGAAAGTCCTCAGCCCTCTCGTCCCTCAACAAGGGTTCGATTATGACTGAAACGAGGTTTTTATTTCAACTGACAGCTCGAAGGAGTAATACCGAGTATCACACAACAATGCAAGCGATAAAAGACGATTCTTACAGCCGGGGAAGAAGAAGTGAATTTCTTTCTCGGCTCGTTCGCAACTGTCGCTGCCGTGCACGACGTTTCGGAAGCTTTCACCTTTCTGGCCATACCTTGCTCTGATACTATCGGGGAAATACAAACACGCCTCGGTCACCTAAATCGGAAAATTTTCATGCGGAGATTATCTCGGCAGAAGAATAATCGGGTGGACAAAGAATCGAAAGATATTCGTGAAACGTTTAATAATCCTGTGTTGCACGAAAAAAAGTGCTATTGTATCAATAAATTGCTCAACATCGTCATAATTGGAGTGACTCCTGAGGTTGTAAATTTGGTTCTTCGAAGCATCAAAGCTTTGAACACTGGAAGTTCAAGGCATTATATTTGAAGAATGGAATTCCGAAGCGTGAATAATTAAACATTCGCATATTTGAACGATATTAACTGCAAGATCTTGTCGCACTACCTAAAATTAATTCTGTTAAAAGCTTCGATGTTTCTCAAATCTTCGAAGAGGGTTTAAAGATTCGAAATTTTCAACTTTAAACGTCAAATTATGCTAAAGTTCCGAAGCTTCGAATATATCAAATGGTATTATTACTTTTTGATTCAGTTGAAACTAATGCTCGAGCTATCGATATATTGGTTTTAATGATACTGCCATTCAGTCAATAAGATTCATTTCAATTGTAGCGCTGTTGATCAATAAAATAAATGTTCCAATTAGCGATCAAGTAAGATTTATCGTGACGATACATTATTAAATAAATAATATGTGTGTTTATCTAAAGACACAGAGATGATCATGTTGGAAAGGTTAAATATTTGAAACTTTAATCGTAAGACTTTAATTTTTCTAATTTATGAAAAAATATTTTAATTTATTTATATTTTCTCATGTAGAAGTAACTGAAATACTATAACATGACAGATTGATTTTGTTTTTCATTTGTTTCTAATTTGATTAAAATTTTAATATAAATGAAAATATATAAAATTCATAGTAAAAACACGTTTGAGAGAAATACGGATCTTTATCAGCTGATTTATTAAGGAAAATTGGTACAACTATCGTAAAGGGGGCACACTAATTGAGACAATCACCTTACAACAGCATTTTGTTTTCCGTTTATGTTTACAGAGAAAAATTTCATCCTACTGCTAAAATAAGAGATTATATTCAGTTTACTTCCTTTCTTTTAAATAATGGTCATCTTCGACAAAAAATATTTTGTTGATAATAATAAAAATATTTTGTTGATAATAATAAAAAACGTGCTTATCACACATTTTAGAAAAGTTCATTATTATATGCATTCAAAAGAAGAATTTATTCTCTCCTCAAGAATATTATAAAACTTATAATCCACACAGAAAAAGCAATGTATTTGTTTTAATATTCTTGATTGAAGTATAAAACTTAGTAGAAGTCGGAATATATATTCGAATAAATTTGAGGCCCCTATGAACTTATAACAGATTTGCGTACGTATAAATTTATAAAGTATTCGACATACAAATCCGGGATTTTTTGGAAACAAAAAATTGTGAAGATTAATCAGACCGACTGAGAAGAAAAGTCATGTATCATTTTGTCGAAATCACAATAGTTATTAAATTCTTAATGATGGAAAATGACCATATCTAGAAACTTTTATTATTGGTAACTTGAAAATTTGCATACTTATTTGCAAAATGTAAAAAGCACTTTTTTTAGGATGACTTAATCTACAATTATATGATGGCTATGCTTAACGACAGGTTCAAGATTCAGGGTTCAAAGTTCAATATATTCATATTTATAGCTAGACTCAATAGCTATTATATAATTGTAGATTAAGTCACTCTAAACAAAAAAGTCCATTGCCATTTTGCCAAATCTAAGCAAAAAAGTCCATTGCCAAATAAGTATGCAAATTGTCAAGTTATCAATTAAAAAAGCCTTTGAATCTGATCATTTTCAATTATTAATAACTTAATAACTATTGCGAGTTTTGAAAAATGGTACTAGACTTTCCTTCTAAGTTTGGTCTGATTAATCTTCACAATTTTTCGTTTTCAAAAAACCCCGGACACCCTGTATAAAATCGTATATAAACTTACAACATACCGGAAGCAAGCAACGTTTACTCGAAGCAGCATGTATTATTTTGTACATATACCGTGGTTGATCCCATGATAAGCTTCCACTCCTCGACGGCGTTTTCCTTGGCCAACACGAACACCACGACAGGTCCGGACGACATGTACGCCACTAACGACGGGAAGCACACCTCATCGAAGCGGTCGTCGTAGAATTCCGAGACTTGCTCGGGCGTGAGCTGGAGCCAGCGCGTCTGGCAGATCTCGAATCCCTCGGTGTATATAATGTGCTCGATTTGCTTCCTGTAGATCACCGCTTCCGGCTTAATGATGGCCAAAGTGTACTCGATGTCCTGTTTCTTCTCAAGCACGTCCTCGCTGCCGTCGGTCTCGCAGGAGCAGACCGCCAGCAACTTTAGGCCATCGTCTTCCGCCTCGCCGGCGTAATCGCATTCCGTCGGACAGGCGCACTGCGATTATCGGCGCAATTGTTACTTCGCGGCAAAGTATCTTTCTTGCCGACGGCGTACCGTTGTGCTCGATTCGCTGGAGGATTCCGTACTCGCGGGAAACTTCGGCGTAGAATCGCTGCTCGTGTCGTCGCCGTCGGGTCGCATCGCATGAGTCGGCGACGTCCAGCTGACGTCGACGGCAGCTGCGACCTCGAAGACGTCTTTTCCGATACGATATGTCGGACATTTCGAAAAAATCATTACGGTTTCCGGGCCGATTTTCTCGGCGATTTCATCGTTTCGTTCCTGTGGGCAGTCGCACATCTTTCTTCCCTAAACTAGTTGCCTCTCGAGATATCTTTTATTTTCTTCTTTGCAGATGTATCAATTTGCTTGAAGAAAGCGCGCAAAGATTGAAAAATTTATCAAGTTTCTCCTTTCTCCTACGCGTGTCTATTGAGGTTAAACTAATTATATCGGATTTTGATATTTATTTGTTTTAACGCCTTCGTTGCTAGCGTCGCGCATTGTGGCAGCGATAATTTTTCTTTTTTCCGACGTAAACACGTAAACAATCCAAATTTATTTTACACTATTATTAATAAAACCAGTGACACGTCTCTAATTAGCAGAATTAAGTACCTACTTACTAAGATATAACATTTTTATATGAAAAATATTTTCACGGTAAAATTGTCTTTTACTCGAAAAAAACACTACGAATCAATCTAGCGATTTTAATCGATTTTTTTCTTACTTGATAAATATTGATCAAATATGTCTTTGCTATTTTCCTTGGCGTATTCTCTTATCTTTTCTAAAATATATATTGTATATAATTGCATAAAAATAAATATAATGTGATCTACAGGGGGAGTTTGCCAAATGAGCCGCGGTGGCAAACGTTTTGATCGTCGCGCATAACCTGCGCGTTCAAAAATTATGAAAACTATCAGCTCCTGTGATCTCTTTGATCGCACCGATCGCGATGCAGCTCCTATTATCTCAATATTTTCTTACGAAAGTTTGCACTGCGATAACAGTCGTCAGCGTAAAGGAACGCATGGTACTTGCGTGATTAAACACGCGTCATACGTCGCGATTTAGATAAAACGCGGAGCACCGCGACGGTGTTTGAACGCTTGTAATTTTTATTCGATTACCCCCCCCCCCCCTCGGTTGCTTTTCAGACATTTCAGGCGAATTGAACGATAATGCGGATGGGGTTATTAACATAGTCAAACAAGAGAATCATCAAGAGACCAGCGACGAGGCGAAGGTGGCGAAGGCGTTGCCGAGAGCGGTAGGGCTGCGGGCTACGAATATCAGGAAGACCAGCATCTCGATGCCCAGCAAACTCGACGAGATGGAAGTTCTCCGAATAGACAGGCAGAACGTAAGTTGAGTTAGTGTTAACGACTTGCGCCGAGACGAACGATACACGAACGACGAGACGCTTGTACCAAGCATCGTTGCGTGGTGAAATTAGCGTTGCGCTAACGACTTTAGAATGAAGGTCTGAAGAAGCTCAACACATTCGGGTAACCTCTCGCTTTAAAGGGAGAGAGAAATGATAGGGGGAGAGGGGAAGGGAAAGAAAGAGACGTTTTGCATACTGCCGAAATCCGTTCATTAAATTTGCTGTTCGATATATGTGACAAATATACGACGAACGTCGCTGATAAGAGTTGCATTTCTCGATGTTTTCGAGACGCCGATATTAGCATTGCCGTCGTGTCGGGACGATCGAGGTGTGAATTTTGCCGCAATGATGCGACCGAGAAGGACATGATTCGCGACGTTGATTGGCGAGTTCGTCTCATTGCACAGGTGTTGACTTGCGTCTTGTACTCGTTCGCTTACATCCAAGTGAATCTTATTTCAGGGGACTGCTTCGAAATTTGCGAGAGCGGAAAGTGACAGCAGCAGCAGCGTGACTTTCAGCAACAGCGGCTCGACGCCGAACGGAAGTCCCCTCTTGGGTTCTGAGACTGAAGAGGAAGCGAACGACGAGGATTTGGTAAAGTAAGTGTCAGACAAAACACTTGATTAAAATTAAAGAACTTTCTTACTAATCCGTAATTTAAAAGTCAAGCCAGTGATTTCGCGATATCTTGTGCGCATTTTTGCAGCTTTCTAAAAGTAATTTTTTAATATGTATGTGGTATATGAAAATTTATATATTGTATAATACTATATTATATGATATATACGGTATAGTAGCATCTAATACTACTTGCTATATCTATAGTATATACAAGAATTGACAACAAAGTAAATGTAATAATCTCTGAACAGCTAAGAGGAGAAAATAATACATAAACGTTTACATATATAAATAAAATATATTAATATATTATATTTAATAAAAGTATATTAAAATTACACACAAGTTAGTCATAACAAGAAGCAAATAATACACGAATTAAAGGCGAAATTAATTTTTAAGAATAAAAGTAAATTAATTATACATTAGTTTTCGCAATAAATATTTAATAAAAGAAAAATATTATGAAGCACAGACAGCTAAACATACTTGTGCTTAGATATTTTACACCATGAATTTTTGATAAGTCAATAAATTAAACATTTATCTTATTGTTATATCTCTTTTTATTATATATTTTATTATATATTATATATATATATATATATTATAATATGTTTATATATATTTATATATATTTATATACTATAATATATTTATATATATTTTATAATATATTTTATCCATTTTTTATTATATATTTATTTTTATTACATCTAATTTTATTTTATATTTTTATATCTATTTTATATTTTAATTAAAATATTATTTCACGGATATTTTTATAATTTAAAACAGTTTGATTAACCTTATAAATAATTTATTATTTTTTATTGCACACGTATATGCATTCGTGTTTGCATATCGCTGCAACCTTTACAATTATTAGAATAATTATTAGAATAACATCTTATTGAATGAATCATGACGAACAAAGGCAAAAAAACCTCTTTTCCTCCAGCTGCCATCACTAGAAACTACGTATTAACTGTCTATTATCGTCTATTTTGCTTGTAGCTATTTACTTTGCTTCTTCAGTTTTTTCTATTTTTTCATTGACACTAGTTTTTAAAATATTTTTACAAACGAGCTTTATATTATAGCATCATGAATGTTTCTAATTATCGTATTGTAAACTGTTTGATAAATAAGATACGGCAAATCCATCAGAAAATTTTTCTATACCATTCAATCCTATATCAAGAGTAAACGCAAATCTTGCATTTACTTCATGATATTTGGACAAAAATTAATTGATCTTGAAACATATACAATACATATTTTATTGTGACTTTAAATCTAAGTTTGCTTATTTGATTCTTCAAACTGCACATTTTCTTCGCAAGATTTACGTTTTACATATTCTACAGCATCGAATGCGCTACAAAAACAAAAATTAATAATTCTTTGGCCAACGCTCGGACTGACGGAAAAATGGAAAGAACGATACCTTTTTCTACCGTCTCAATATTGCTTACAATTATTCAACTTCTTATTCGACTTCTCTGTTCATTTCGTACTTATTGTTTAAACTATTAATAACCCTCAAGAATAACGAACTCATCAAAGGTAAAGAAATTGTGACGCACACTGTATCTCGTATTACAAACGACTGTCAAACAAACGTTGTAAGTTGCCGGTGAAACGGACACAATAGACTACAAGAGTAGGACTTGTATAGTCCAAACATACATTGTATAGTCCAAACATGGGGCTGGGAGGGGGGCTTGAGTCAGACTATCGGTCGTTTCGAGCCGTCAACGGCCAATCGGCCAGATAGTGTCCTGCGCTCACTATAACTGGGAAAACTCAAGGAATAGTTCGGATTTCATGGAAAGTCCTTGTAGGAACTTATTTTTCAGGTATCTTTCGAAAAATGTAAAAAACTTTTTTGAAGCTGTTACTATATAGTGTAAGGATTAAAACGATAAATCTGCTTTATATTAAACACATATTTTGGCAGCAGATTTAAAGAAGATACAAATGTATTTATATTTTCATTATTTTACTTTGCATGTTAACAAATAATAATAAATGTTTTAATTCTAATTAACCTTAATGGTTTACATATCTAACAAAATAATAGCTTCATTCTCCTACTTGTACTTGTATGGCTATGATATGATAATATTGATATCACTTATCTCGCGTAAGATAAAATTTGCGAAAGCCTTAGAAATATTTAGGGTAACGCAGAAAATTTTTTCGTGCACTGTACCGGTCACTCGCTCGTTAGGCGCTAAAGACGATAAATATACAAAAGAACTACTATGCACATAGTGCAAGTAATCGAAGTCCGGGTATATATATTACAACGATTAATTAACAGTTTGCTTGGATATATTTTTTTAACTTTACAAAGATTTGTAGCGTATGTGTCGAAACACTTGAGACAGTTCTATACTATCTCAAGTGTTTCGAATATAATGAATATTTTATGAATGAATATTTAGAATATTTTACGAATGAATATTTAGAACGATGATAATGAATATCTTGAATATTTCGCATAATATGAGTACATCCATAACCGGACACAAACTAATATGGTATTTTCTCAGCGTGCGAATGTTGTTATCTTCCATAAAGCTTCTCTTCGTACAGTTCTTAGGAGATTAAGTTGTTGAGGCTTATGTGAGCCACCCTGTATATGAATGTTACTATTGTTTTCATATATAGTTGTTCTTTGTTAATTAGCTATTTTTATAGGTTTTTCATACTCTTTGTCGTTGAATTTTGGACACAAATGATTGTATCGCTTATTCTACTTCGATTTTTTCCACACGACACGCAATCTCGAATATGCAATCTCACAAGATGTCCTCATTCTCGTGACTAGGATCACGTGCGTAGGATGTGTGTGTATGTGCATTTCGAACAGGCATACCTATTTGACCTTGGTCGTGGTCGTCACATCAGCGTCGTCAGAGACGCGACCTTCTCTTTATCGCTTCAGGGTTATCGCGCCGTACACTCATGATTATCGCGGCCGCGTCTATTTCGGCCAACAGTGCTCTGCTCGATCGCGTTTACGGCTTCCTCACTCTTTTCTTTTGTCGCGACACCGCGCTCAGTTACTCTCAAATTTTACTATTATTCTCTCATTTCTCGCGTGTGAGGCACGCGAGCCACTCGTCGCATCCCGAAGATATTCGTGTCTACAACAGCATTGTGTCTCATGCCAGAGTATGACGTAGTTGAAGAAACAGATTAAGAGCACAAATTAAAGGTCAACTTTAAAAGACTTTGGTAATTTGCAAGATAGCAAGATGATTCCCAGATACGACGTCGGTAGTGCCGTGTCGTTGCAAAGGTACGAATTTTCAGCAAAAGTTCGAAGAGAATCTTTTTCGATGTAACAAATATTATTAGGAAATTTACATTTAGGAGTACCAATGGATGATTTCATTGGTTCGAGAAATAAATTATCTTACGGACTTGCAGAATCAGATAATTTCCTGAAAGGTGACAAAAAGTGGTAGATAATGATGAGAGATACTTTTGTATAATTGCTGATAACAAAATTAATTTTTCTCAATATTTTTTGACGTGGAATTTCACAAAAAACGAGTGGAGATTCATTCAAGATGATAATGAACATATTGTCACTCGGAATCGCAAGAGTGAATATTTAACTCAAAGACTCTCTCAACTTATAATCAAAAAATTTCAAAAATCTTTCAATTTAGACATTTTTTAAGCATGTGAGCTTTTAATGCTTCGACAAATTAGAAGAATATTCACTCGACAATTTCGAGTGGAAGAATTCACTTTATATGTATCGACTTTCAATGACTCAACTTTCAAGTCACTCCACTTTTTCAGCGGAATTTCATTCGAAGAAATTTAGAGAATATTGTTTCGCCGTTGTTAATAAAAGAGAAAAAGAAATATAGCTGTAAATCCCAATTTCGCAAATCGCTAATATATTTCAAGTAATGTCGGTTGATATTTATATACAATTTAATTGTATAGTTGGTAATTGCTTGAAAATCTTTCTCAGAATCCCATTGCAAGCTCCACCGCGACGGAAGGGCAGAGCAATATCGCCGTCGATGAACGAGAAAATGGGAAACGATCCAACGGAACTGTCGGGCGTGCAGAGTGCGAATTCCACGATAACTAGCGTGAACAGTATAAGCAGTCTCTTGAAAGAGAAACTGCAACTGTCGATACCACAGGCCTTACGTAGTAGCAAAAGACGTCAGAATGCCGATTACAGGTACATTTTTTACCTTCTTACGTCACAGTGGGCGTTTAAATGGTTTTATCTCTCTAAAAGGCAAAGAAAACTGAATGTAAAAATGTAAAGATAAAAGACGACAAGCCCGTTGAGAAGACTTGTTATATTTATTAAACATACATTAAGATTATATATAATTATAATTAACATTTATGAAATTATATACATAATTAAAATTTTTACAATATTATGATTATAATTTTTATCAAGTAAAAAATAATTGTAATATTTATGAGCGCTTATATATAATTATAATAATATACTGAGGTTATATGTAACTGTTTGCTGCATATACAGATTTACAAACCAATTTATTATCAGAACGTTTCAACCATACATGTTTTGTAGTCGTTCTCAACCGATATTACAAATTATAAAAAATTGATGGTCATGATTATCTTCGGCTTAAAGAAACATCAATTTCTTCCGCAGGCTCAAAGCGTTTGTCGGTTTCTTGTTCCTCTGCGTCGTCTTCCTCGTGAGTTTCGCACACATTTATTATACTCAGCACGTTCTGCAGCGAGCTTACTTCGACAACTTCAGGTGAGTATCAGTCATCGCTAAGAGCACGACGCTCATATCATATCAATCTTCCGGGTTACATGTGTTACATTAACGTGAACATTTACCGTAACAGCTGTTCAAGGGTGCTTAGGCGGTCTCCAAATTACCGAATCATGATAGATTTCGATTGTTCACGGCGTTGCATCGCCTGCCTACGCCGTCGAATAACTTTCGGTCGTTTGCCTCTGCCAGGAAGCGCCTAATGGAATGCATTAAGGTTCATTTATCATACCGTGATCTCACCGTCAGTCTCAAAATGCGTATTCAATTGTTACCTCGGCGCGTATGCTCGACTTTTTATGGGCCGCAAAATCGTGGGAGAAAAATCTTGGCAGTAATTATCAGACCGCCACGACGCAGCCGATTATTCCCAGGTAGCTAAACCTGCACAGGCAGATTTTGCACAGCGCCTGCTGTCAATTTTGTCAGCTGTTTGCTAGCGGGAATATAACAGGATTTGTTAGCACAGTATGATGACAGATGAACTGCAGAAGTCGAACGAGATTTAATATTCCGTAACTATTTGAGGGAATGACATACTTAAAAATTTTACCGACAGAGTATTAACTCTGTTCTGCAAAGTTTGTGTCGTATTAGTTATACAAAATTATAATTGACTTTACACGATGAAGGTATTTACACGCAGAAATAAATTGAAACATCGCTAATATGCGACGGAAACGATAGAAAATTAAAAAAATTGACATTTCGAGCTGTGAGTTAGCGTAAAGACAAGACAGCATAATTGTTTGTATTTATAAAATTTGGTCTCTGCGACACCTTTGGAGTTTGTTATGCACTTATCACGACATCCTCTTAAAGATATTTAAATGGATCACTGCCAGAGCTTGCTCGGTTTCTGCTGCTAATCTGCTATCAAGTTGTGTTAACAGGCCCTGTCGACAAAACACGACAGTTTAATGTGAACACAGATGTTTTGACCGAGTCTGCTGCCAATCTGCCAGCATACTGCTAACATTTGGCTTATTAGGATTTTTCACTCTGCCGTGTTTCATTCCACGTCTTCAATAGTACTCGTTTCGTCGTCTTCCGTATTTTCTTTTTCGTGGAATTTTTTTTCTTTCTCTCGTAAAAATTATCTACCTTAGCAAAATATTTGGAAGCAAATAAGAGCCAGCGCTGTTATGCAAATTTATTGTTGATACAGTTTACAATTGCCGAAATTATTATTTTTTAAACTTTTAGCATATTAATGGTTATCGTGAATTTTTTAATTATTTTTAAATTCTTCTCTGTTTTTATTATAACTTTGTCGTTGAAGAGAGTTATCACGCAACGAAATATATTTAACATATTAATGGTTATCATAAATTTTTAAATTATGTTTAAGTTCTTCTTCGTTTTACTGAAACTTTGTCACTGAAAGGAGTCCGAATAATGAACGATCATTTCTATTTTCACCACAGTCTTATTTATCTCCAAATATTTTGCCGTGATTGTTGTACTTCGAGAGAGAACCTATTTATTTAATATAATTATCTACTATATAATACTATTTTCTACATAATTAAAATCAATTCTTCTTCAGGTTTAACAAGAACGATAGGGTAATGAGAGTGTATAGTATCACCGGCGCTGAGATTATCGCCGCCAAATTCGGCAAAGACATACCGGACGACACAGGAGTGTACCCTTGCTTACCGCATCATCAAAGGCAGGATGCGGTCTGCCTGGAGTGGCTGCAGCAAACACGGCTGTACCTGGCGCATACGAAGCGCGAGGACATGCACTGCTATCATGTGACCTGGCAGAGCCTAAGTCCGAATTACAATCCCAAAGACTGCTTCGATTGGTCGTCGAAGCGTGGCCATTGGTACGGCGCCGGTCAAATCCAGAGCATGGCCTACCCGCTGGAACGCAGTCGCCTGGAGCTGAGCCCTTTTGTCACAGGCGACGTGAGAAAGCACCCGTTTGGCAACGTACTAAAGAGATATTTCCTCAGCTCGAAGGGCGCCACGATCCTGGTGGACCCCGAGACGCCATTGTACGTCTCCATTAACGCCAATCGCACCACCGACTTCTGCCTGCAGGCCAAGCACGACGCTTTCGCCTACATCAATCATCTGACGCCGCTGCCGCAGCTCAACTACACCATCTGCGCCACCGACAACATGAAGACCCTGCATTCCTCGATGGCAGAGAAGTCCTTGTGGGACGGTCTCAAGCCCGACGAGCTGCACGCTGTTCATTCGCTGTTGTCCGAGCCAGTCTGGCAAATCTCGCCCACCAATGAGGCGGCCATTTACAATTACACCGAGGATGTGATCGCTTTGGGCTTCCTGCGACAAGGACACGTCCTGCTGAGCGAGGAGTGGCAGCCTAGTCCAGGAGACTTTATATTGGACGAGGAACGATTCCCGTCCATGGAGGAGACCATCAACATCATTCATCGCAGGGGATTTAGGATAGTCTTTAGCATCCAGCCGTTCATCTCCACGGAGTCCGTGAACTTCAAGGATGCTGTCGCTAATAGATTATTGATCTCCGAGAGGGGTAGCGATCCTAGAATCCCGGCATTGACGAGGTTGTGTTACGTCGATTGTTATATAAAATTGTTATTGAAAGATGACTCGAAACCTCGCAGGCTTATGGTAATCATTAAACTCAATAGGAAGTGCTCGATCAACGTACATAATTTTTACAATATAAAAATAGAAAATTACACGTGGATTATAAAAGTATCCAAAAAATTTATATAAAAAAATTTAGTTTTTTTCAGCCTTCTAATGTAATTATGTTAAATTGAAATATTTTCTCGCCGTTTTGTTTTTTTATAAAATTGATATCGAACTTTCTAAAACGCCATTTATATTATGATTCATTGGTGCACACATAATATTAAAAATAACAGTTGATATAATGAGCGACGAAAAGCTTTTTACTCGACACTGTATTTGGTTTTACCATTGATGTAGAAGACTGTCCGAGGTCCATCCATGAATGTTTGCGTTTAAAATTATCATATATAATCTACTTTGCATCGCCAGTAACAATTTTCCACAACAAATTTTTTTGTGCCGTCTAGAAAGCAATGAAATGCATGTACTTAACCGGCGGATAATGCGGTTTTGCGACAATTCATGAGGCATCTATTCTCCCAGCTTTTAAATTTTTCCCATTTTGTGCAATTGCCCGTGGTCAACTCCGGCTGTTCTGCAAGTTCTATTTGCATTTCTTCATTCAATACGTTTCCAAATTGTCGGTCTCGAGCTTTCATGGCGTTTCAGAGCGCGGACAATCACTCGTGTCAAAATTACTGTCTTTAAAGCAATGATACAATATTTGCATATATTGTGGGACACAATATTTTCTCCAAGAACAGAGCAAATGGATTCACATGTTTCAACAGCATTTTATCCTTGCTGGAATTTATATCGAATGTTATGAATATAAAGATTTCATTGCTCACTGTACGAACTGTTATTTTTAAGATTATGTGCACCAAATTATAATGAATGGAGTTTTAAAATGTTCAATATCAATCACACAAAAACACAAAATGGCGGGAAAATAATTCAATTTAAAATAATTACGTTAGAGAACTGGAGAAAAAGATTAAAACTTTTGCATACACCTAATATTTTATCATTCCATTATTCTTACCTGTTATAAATTTGTATTCTGTAGTCATCTTGCCGTTTCAAAATATACTTGATATCTTCGTGTCGTCGCATTTTGTGCTCTTTGAAAAATTTTTTTAGTTTTTTTTAATTTTGTGTCATTTCACAAGAATTCTTTAATCGTTGTACAACTCTGTTAAATTGTTTATTGGAGATAAATATGTTGAAGAAATATATTGAACTTTATAAAAATTTTCCGCGAATAAACATTTAGCTTTGTATCGCGTAAAAAGGTCTAACAGACTAAGATTGAAAGGGGGAGACTGAACTTCTTCTTTTTTTACCGTAAACTTGGTTAGGATATCATTTGACAATAATTTTAAAATATAGTACCATCATACTTGATTCTTTATTTATTTTAAGATTGATCTGCGAATCTACATGTTGACTAAGCTCGTTTTTTATTTAGTTTAATGAATAACTTAGGCCTCCAAATTTCTCAAACATTTATCGAAGACACCTTATGTGCGTTTATCAGTCTATTATATTCACTAACATGTTACAATTAATTCCAGATACAAGCAAAGCAACAGCGCCGGTGTGCTCGACATCACGAACAACAAGACCTTGCCGTGGCTGCAGGCGAAGCTCGAGAGACTGATTATGAAGTACCATGTGGATTCGTTCTATCTCGATCTCGGCACAGCTCAGGACATGCCGCATTACTACAAGTGCGAGCAGCCCCTGACCAACCCCGATCACTACAAGACGATCTTCACGCGCTCGATATTGGGCACGATCCCCGTGATCGGCGTATCGAGCGCCATTTCCAGGCCGCGAGCGCCAGTCTTCGTGTCCCTGCCGCCGTTTCCCTCCTCGTGGAAGGCCATCAAGACTGTCATTCCTACCGTACTGAGCTACGGCATGATCGGTTTCCCCTTCATCATGCCCGGAGCGGTGGGTGGCGACGTGGCGTTGCCGATGTCTGACAACAACCCGGACAATGACTTCGAGGTGAATCTACCCGACAAGGAGCTCTACATCCGATGGCTGCAGCTGTCCACTTTCCTACCTGTCATCCGTTTTACTCATCTACCAAGCAAGTATTCGGACGAGTCGGTCCTGGAAATCGCCAAGCGACTGACCACCTTGAGGCAGAAGACGGTGACACCGTTGCTGAAGAAGTACGCGAACGAGACCCTGGACACCGGTCTGCCCATCATCCGACCGCTCTGGATGTTGGATCCGGCCGATCCAGCCTGCCATGTGGTGGTCGACGAATTTTCCGTGGGTGAGGAGCTAATCGTCGCGCCGGTGCTTTATTCTGGCAGCCGACAGAGAGAGGTTTACCTGCCGGCAGGTGTCTGGAGAGATGGCATCGACGGGAGCCTGAGGAAAGGCTCCAGGTGGATTCACAATTACAGAGTGGCAGAAGACAAGGTGGCATACTTCGTTAAAATGCCGGATAACACGAGATTCTGAAGAGCGCGTTGACTGCTTACCACTGACCCACCGAGGAATCACGAAGCTGAGGAGAAGCTCGAGGTGGATTCGCAATTACAAAGTGATGGAGGACATTGTGGGATACTTCGTCAGGATGCAGGAAGACAAAATTCTGACGAAAGTCGACTACTCGTCGTCGACTCGCCGGAGAATCACAAAGCTCACAGCCTCCAAAGGAATTTACTATTCAAGATGGCGGAGGACAAGGTGGGGTACTTCGTCAAAATACAGGGAAACATAAGATTTTGAGGAGCGCTCGTCGTCGTCCCGTCGAGGAATCGCTAAGCCAAGGATCCTGAAGTATAATCTGTGCGTCATTAACGAGTTTCATAAAACTTCATCGATGCGGTTCTTCTTGCTATGATCCGCACGGTGAACTTGTTTCTTGCTGAACTTTGAAAGTGCGGCGAAACGACCGTGCAGCAGTGTTGGATACTTCATGGCATTCTCAGACGATAACGATACACTTTGCACGTGCCAGCATGATGTACGTAATGTATGTATTCAAGAATAGTGCGGGAAATATTACTTGCAAAATACCGAGGAGGTTTAATCGCGCGGAGAATATTTAACGTTGTTATGTTTTGTGTAAACATTACGGTCGATCGCATCGGATCAGCGCGTATCGTGGATACGCGCTAATACATACAGTGAATGTCTTTATTAACGACAGTGTTCTAATTTGTGACAATTGTGTCAAATTTATCTGGTGAATCGGCTAATATTTGGGTCTACATCTAATTAATTCAATGCCTCCCCACATATAAAATACTATTTCTTGATACGTCAGTTTTGTAAAAGTTAAAGAATAACTGGGCACAAATCTAATAAATATTAAGTAACCAAGAAAGTTCATGCCGTTTTGATATATGCAAAACTTTAAATAATTAATTTCCGTAAGTGTTATATACTAGTAAATTCTCAGATAAATAAACTTTTGTTTAAGCATACATAATCACAGTTTGAATTGATAGTGTGCGCATGTGCAGTTGGACAACGACAAAACCTAGAAACGGCATGAACTTTCTTGGTTATTTAATACATGTCCAATATTAACTGTCAACTTCTAAAACGTCGAAGATAATTTTTAAAAGTCTGCGGGGAGATTATATTCTTCTTTGTCCTTATTCTAAATTAGGTATATTATTGATTATATCAATTTCGAATAAAATTCGAATAAAATACTATAATTAAATTATAATAAATATTATAAATATAAGCACATTGTTGAGGGCAACCTTCGGAACCTGTCGATATCTTAAAAATTGATATTTAATATCAAATGTCTTTATTCTTGTCATGATCTATGCAGTTATTCTTTAACTTCTTCAAAACTAAACTGTTTTGTTTCTAAACGGTAATACTAGTCATTTCTGAGAAAATATAAATAAATGAAAGTCTTTCTACAGATTAAAAAATCTAATACAATTAAAAACCCAAATGTTGAAGCTTTCCGATAAATTCAACTTTGTGTACTACATATATATAATTAGTTTAACACATATATTATTAATTTCTTATCATGTTTTCATGGGATTACTTGGTTACTAATTAAGACATTCATCGTACTGAAAACAAGTCAAATGTGTAGATTTATTTTACGCCAACAATCATATCTTATTGTAGCCAACGAAGCTGCTTTACCGTATACTGATTCGTCGATAATTTATTAGCGAGAGAAATTGAGATTCAGTGATGTATAAATAGAAAATAAAACAAGTGAATGAAGCGCTGTCCTCGCGAGGAATGCACCTGGACGCAGTCTTGCAGGACGCACGGTCTGTTTATTTTCATCTCACAAACTTACATGACAAGTATGTAAAATAATAAAATGCGTAAGCATGCAAAAAAGCGGAGATCGAAACCGGCACAGTCTTGATTTTCCGCGTCGCAAGGAGTACGAAGAAAATAAAAAAAAAGGAAATGCACACCTCACAAGGTGTCGACCGGCGTCGCGACCGTGAAAACGTGAGCGACTTTCCACACCGCTGCCTGGACGAGCATGCGGAATCAACGTCGCACCGGTCTCGATGCTTGCGCAAAATATCCTAAACAAAAGCTGATGACGCATCTCTACGGTCGATCGACGAGGAGAAAATCAAGACGCGTGAGGCACACAGAGACGAGAGTTCTCTAAGGTATAGTGTATATTTATTATATTATCATTTTTATCATATAGCATAACATTGTTATTTCTATAATAATAATAATCATAGCACCATGAACACTCCACAGTAAGTTTTTTTTAATTCGTTATTCGAAAAAACGCGACGCGCCGATGCGCTGCGACGGGTGAGAACCGCGATCGTGTTAATCGTAAAGGGAACCCGCTCGTCACCGAGATCCCCGAACAAATAGGGGAAACGTCCGAGGGAAGGCCCTCCCGATGACGCGCCTCCTGGACGTTCCTCCGAAGTCTCCGGCGACGTCGGTGTCGGCCAGGTACGCGCGGCCTCGTCGTTACTCTTGTTTGCGCAACAACGAAACCCTCAATCGGATGTGACTAGATGACTCTGTTTTCTCTGGTTTCTTTTGCATTTTTTTCTTTTTTATACGCTAGGAAACGAGTCGTTCTTTCTTTTCGCTGACTAGAGCCTCGCGAGTGTCCGAGAAGATTTCGCGACGGAGGAAAAACGCTCTTTTTTGATTCTGCTGATTCGGGCTGAGTGGCCGGCGCAGTGTGCCGCGCGGAACGTGAGCAAATTCGGAACGGGAGCGAAATTCGCCGCACCTCGCTCTGCCTCCTTCCTCCGTTGTCCGGCACGATCGATATATAATTCGCGTAATTATTATAATATCTTGATTGTTCTCTTGGTCGGAGAAATCTCACCAATATCACCGTTCTCACACCCGTCGAGCACCGCGTTTTGGGGGTTCGTACAGGTGTTGAGGCTCACGTTTTTCACATTTCTCTCCCTTTCTCTCTCTCTCTCTCTCTCTCTCTCTCTCTCTCTCTCTCTCTCATGCTCTCCCGCTCTCTTTTATATCTTTCTCTCTATATCTCTTTCTCACGCGCTCTTTTACTTCATTTCTCTTATGTACTTCGTTCATATATTATATAGATATCTATCTATATATATATCTATATATATAGTATATATATATATATATATAGTACATATATAGTATATATATAGCATATATATACTTTTTCCCCTTCATAGTTCCCGCTAATCTGTTTCAGTGAAAGCTCGTTCCTAATCTTTTATTTGTTTTTTTTTTGTTATTTTCATACCTTTTATTTAAATTACTTCCATAAATTCATCGTTTATTTAGTCTATCCTGCGCGCATCATCATCGATCGACAATAGCTTCATTTAATAATTTATTAATTTATTTTGTTTTCGTTAAATTGAATTTTATAATTTTAACATCCTACCTAGATAACTGGTCATTATATATTACTTGTTAATAAATAATACATAAATACATAGGTACATACTTCATCATCACCTTCTCTCTCTCTCTCTCCCTCTCTGTTTTCGCTCTCCCTTTTTCTCTCTCTCTCTCTCTTTCTCTGCAATTCTCACTTTTTTTCTTTCCCTCTCTCTCTCTCTCTCTCTCTCTTGCACTCTACTTCCTTTTATTTCCCTCTTAGATCTCGATCTCCGTTGCGCACCGACAACTCGCTATCATACGTATCAAGAGGTATCGATAAGCGTTATAAAAACTTCTTTATTCGTACGATAGAAAGAGAACGACGATGATGATGATAATGACCCGCTCTCGCGAACGTAATCGTAATATGTAATAATATTAATAGTAATCGCAATAATAATAATGTATTGTAGCAATAATAACAAGCACAATAGTCGTTAAAAATAATCGGCATAGTAATAATAGTATTTATAACAATATCGATCGTTCATTTCTTCTCTCTTTCTCGATGTGTCGCTTAAGTCTCTCCGCTTGCGTTTTCTCCTACATTAATTAATTTTTCTCCTTCGCACGCTTCTTCTCCTTCTCTTCTTCCACCTCCTCCTCCTCTTCCTCCTCCTCCTCTCTTTCGCCGGTCAGCGAGATAAGGTCTTGATCGCGCGTATGACTCCGCCGAAGAAGAAAAAAAAGAACACAGAAATCTCGAAGGAAACGCAATCAATCTCTCATGAGAATTCCACGGCTAACCGATTTTCATCGAATTTCACGCTGAGTCTCAGTGATGCGGTGTACGTCGCGCCCAAGGGTTGGAAGGGAGGGGGAGGGCGAACGCAACGCGATGACCGACGAACGAAGAATGAGTAATAAATAATCGGGAAGAATGGCGAATGAAAAGTGCGTGTGGGATGTGGGATGCGGTGCGTGTACCTTCTTCTCCTTATGCCAGGCGTGTATCGTGTCAATCGTGTGGTGTGTTATCCGCGCGATCCTGGCGCGGTTGGGCTTGCGGATGATTGGACGGGGGGGGGGCAAGGGGAGAACCAATCCCGCGATCGGACGAACAGAAAATTGTATATGACTTGCGACGGGCGGTGTAAAAAACTTACGCACTAATCTATTAGAAAACTCGGGCCCGAATCGCGGCCGGTAATCGCATGTCGACTGCGTCGACCAGACAAATCGCGTCATCATTCCCTCTCGCGCTCTCCTCTCATGCTCTTTCCATCTCACTCTCTCTCCTGATCGCTCGCTCGGATACCACCTGGGTATTATCATCGACGATCGGTTTAATCGAGCACCATTTTCGTGTAGGCACGAATGTGTCTCGTATAGAGAAGAGCTTCCTCCGATTGTCATTCGACGAGATCCATCGTACGACCTTGGCGAATTTCACCTCCTGTGTCTCATTTCGCAGTCGTCGCTCGCGCACGACAAGTTCGCTTCCCGACTTTCTTTCTCTCTTTCTTTTTTCTCTCTCTTTCTCTTGGCCGTCGCTCGACAACGGCACTCACTCGCGAGGAGCGCGAGACTGCGGAGGTCAATCGTCTCCTCTTTTTCTCTTCCACCAATGACGAGACGTCGTCTCCGTCCATGGATCTCGCGGGAATGTCGAGAGCAAAGGTGTCCTCTATAGGTTACAGTTTCGGTATCGCGCTTAATCGCACTTGTTATCATTCGTTATCGACTTCTCCTTCCGGCTATGTGGTTCTAAAGCTCATGAGCGATCTCTTTCCGCGCGGATCGCGCGAATCGCCACCCCGAATCGCGGCCATGGCGAGCCAGGACGCGCGTCGGGAGTCTCCTCCGGAGGCTTCTCGGACTCAAGCGCGCGACGCGACGTGCAACATCGCCCGGGCCCAGGGATCGCGATTCAAAGGCGAACGGCGCGCAGGATCGGCACTAGATGGGCTCCTTAAGGTACAGCTACACGAACGTTTAGAATCGATACTTGGTACAACCTGGTCTCTCTTCGTCGCGGGAGAGAAATAACGGGCAACGGGACGTCTAGAGCTAGACAGCACAAACGCCCGGCGGTCGCGAGAAGTAAGTCATGAGGTCGCGCAAATGAGAATCTCTCTCTCTCTCTCTCTCTCTCTCTCTCTCTCTCTCTCTCTCTCTCTCTCTCTCAGCCGGCTGTTCTCGGATGTCCTCAGGATAGCGCTCGGGCTCTTGTGCTGCTTAGGCAGGAGCGAACGCGCCAAGTTTCACGACGAAGACTCGCTCCCGCTCTCGTGAACGTGCGACCCTCTCGCGCCAAGAGGAGAGCTATGGACGCTCCCGTGGTGAGAGGAATACGGATGGGGAGGGGAGGGCCGGCCGTCGGCTCGCGAAAATGATGATATCCCGATGCGATGGTTTCACGAGTAAGCGCGATAAGTTCGATACGTTTTCCCTCCGCTCGATTCGCCATCCGCTCGTCTACGTCGGCGTCCACATGTCCGCCATTACCGCCAGCCATCATCGTATCATTCATCACCACCGGCACTACCACCACCACCATCATCATCATCGTCTCGTCAAAGCTCCTCTCGTGTCGCGCTCTATGAACCTTACTTGGATAAAACGCTCTAGCTCTCTGAGAGAAGGTTAAGTACAAAAAGTTTCGTCGACTTGGGTCGGTCTTCTTGCTCGTCCGCTTCGCCCGGACGGGAGCCGCGCGACGTCACCCTGCGATCGCCCGCTCCCGCTGGGAATGCACGCCTGCTCCAAAAGCAGCGACTCTTCTCGTCGAGGTAGGCGATCTCGCGCCGGTACGGCTCTCAGAAAACAATGACCGTGTCGACAGTCGTCCAACTTCCAGCTCAACGTTCATTTCCTCGAGGAAGCTCCGAGTCGCGACCTGTTTGTGCGATACTGCAGTGACCCGGTCGCCGAGCGTCCGCTCTTCATCTCTCGACGTGGACGAGTCGATTCTCTTTCTCTCTCTCTTTTTCTTCCTCACGCGTTCGATCTTCATCATGGGACTTTCCTTGGCAAAGTACTTGGTGTTGTCTCCCAAAGACATATTCTTGTCGACTGCCAGATTCACGGGTTCACTGTTCTCTGAAGCTCCGCTCCCGTTGCTCGATCTCGCGAAACGAGGCTCCCCGCGCCGAAGAAACGATCGAAGATGGACTATCGGTCCTGTGGATGGATGTTTTTCGAGATGTATCGTATCGTCGCACCTCCTTCATGGCAACGAATCGCGCTTTCTTTCTCTCTATCTCTCTTCCCCTTCGAATTTCTTCGTCATCGGAGACATTCTCGCCGGACCGTCCGGCTAACTCGGTCTCCTCATGACCTCGTAGACCATCTCGAGATGATTGCGTTGCTACCTTAGATCGCGCGCGATAAACGAAGCGACGAAATCCGTCTCTCGCACGGGCTTTTTTCTTCTATCTTTCTCTCTCTCTAAATCTCTTCTCTTTCTTTCTCTCTCTCATAACCATCGCACTTCCTCGTAATCTCTATTCTCTACGATATAGAAACACGACACAGATAATTCCTATCTAGTACTTCCCGATGGAATTTAGCCGTTTGACCTACGCACGAATAGACATTTACGACGAGAAAGGGGGACCGTTAATCATGTAACAACGAAGGAAAATGTTCGGAGGTGTGGATCGTCTTCTCCTCTCGAACTTCGCATCTCGCGCGCTCCCTTACAGAGGATCTTACACTTTCGGAGGAAAGACGCGTCCGACGGATTCGGAGATACGAATCGTTTCTCTTTCTCTCCTTCTCCCTATTACTCTCTCTCTCTCTCTCTCTCTCTCTCTCTTTCTCTCTCTCTCTCTCTCGTTCTCTCTCTTCCTCCCTATCTGTCTCTCCGGGATAACCTGGTCTGCGGTACTCAGGTCTACTCTCTTCTTTCCTCTGGTTCCGTGCTCTCTGTTAACTTATACACTGAATACTACGCGGTGCTGTTAAAGCGGCAGCTGTGTCGAGAGATATTAAAAGTTTTACTTTAATCTGCTGATCGAGGAGAGGGTGGGGCGAGGTCTCGCATCGCGAGAGCGACACTATACATGATCGTACGACCCTCCGGTCAGGGTCGCGGGTCGGGGAATTAGAATATCCTAAGTCAATTGATTCGGTAACTAACGTATAGAGATTGTCCCAGGCCGCGGCATTTGCGGATCGTCGATTCGATTAGCCGATCGTAGCTACGCTCGAACATCCACTCGGTCTCGGTCGTCCTCAACTTTGAGCAGTGATTGATTAACGTATTGCAGGCGATATCAGCGCGCTATGGGCTTCAAACGGTGCAAAGTGTAGAAATACAAATATCCCGTTAGGAAATCGACACGACGCCCGCCACGGGCGCCATTGCGACCTCAACGCAGTGCGAGCCTCGATCGAAACGTGGAATTCTCTCTATCGATTAATCGCTTAGAAGTACGTAAATTTATACCTTGTATCCGTGCAAGGAACAAACCCCTACGATCCCTTTCCCTCTCTCCCTCTGCCTCTGCCTCACCTTCTTCTTCTTCTTCTCTCAGATCGCCCGCACCGTCTCCTCGTGAGAAAGGATACGAAGAACGTCTTAACTTAGAAGATAGTCTCGGTGTTTGTGACCTGCGCGGAAAAGTCGGTCTCTTCCTTCTTCGGGACAACCTCTACATTGTTCGATACGATTTCTACGATCCGGCTTGGAGTAGGCCGCGAAGCTACGACCGCGAAGGGATCTCGAATTCGAAATGCCATTTTATTTTCGGGTCTTCTGGAGGGGTCAGGGTCGTCGCCTGACGGGACGGTAGGTCGACCTGTGGTAGCTCAACCTTTTCGATTTGCTTTCTTCCTGTTTTCCGTTTTTCCTCTTTGTTCTACCTTTTTTCTGTCTTTTTTTTTCTTTCCCTTAGCAGGAATGAGTCCAAAAACGGAATGATGACGCGTTCCGGACGCCGCTCAGAACTCGACTATTACGGCTGAGCAGGCTGCCAATCCCTAGAACTCGAGCCTATAGGCGCTGCAACTAGTCTCGTGATCCTGCAGATTGATGGTGCACCGGGACGCGGAGGGTGACAGGTCTATGTGGTTCGCCGCGAGTGCCTCCTCGTTATCGGCAACCCAGTAACCTAAGGTATCGGTGTCGTACGTGGGGATCATGGTGACTTCTATTGAATGAAACATATGACATGTATCAGAGTAGAAATCTCAGACTTGACCTGAGAAAGAAAATCGACATTCACACAACACTAATTATGGTCATATAAATTTTTAGTAATTGATTGTATCTCTTGAAAACAACTACAAACAAAATTACAAACAACTATTAATAAAACTAATTGACTCACATATTTTTTCTTTTCCTGTAATAATTCATCTAATAATTCATCTATTTCGATATTTTTAATAACGCTCACTGATCTTCCACTGACAAGAAAACAGAGGGAACTCGAAAATTCAAAAAATTATGAAACTTTGCGTGGAAGTAAAGTAGTTCATCCTTAATGTAAAACTATTTTTTGTTCGTGCGGAATTCCAGTCTGAGGGGGTGAAACCATCTTTCGAAAAAAAATCATTTTCATTTTCAGCATACGTCTTTTAAAATACGAGACATATACAAAAATGATTTATATGAAAGTTGTAGTGTATTTCATACTTTTTATTACTATATATTCAGATTTTGCAAAATTGAAGGAGGGTGGAGGAAATTTCAAACATTTTTCAATTTTGCAAAGTACGTGAATTTTCAAGTTATTAATTAAAAGAACTTCCAGATTTGGTCATTTTCAATCATTAATAACTTAATAATTATTGTGATTTTTGCAGAATGGTACTTGACTTTTCTTCTCAGTTTGATCTATTTAATTAATCTTCACAATTTTTCGTTTCTAGATCCCAGACATCTTATATAATAATATTTAACTTGTGTATAATTGTACATGATTTCATAAAATCATACATACAATTTTTAATGATCGGAATGATGAACATACCAAGATCTTTATCCTCCCAAGTCTTTTTAGCTTCCAACAGGGCGTCGTAGACTTCCCGGCTAGGCTCAGTGCCACTAAAGACATAATATCTCGCCCGCACTCTCTTGAAGAATTCCAACGAGGTGTAGTACGAATTGCCATGATGCGGAACATACGCCAAGTCCATGTAGACCGGCTGAACCTTGTTCTTCGAGTCCTTCATCTTCTTTTCGTTTTTTCCCGGGCTTTCCGAGCGTTTTTTATTCTTAATGTTTTCCGACTGCACCTTCCTCGTTTGTTTCCGCTCCTTCTTCGGTGTGCCTGGTGCGCCCTTGTTCGACACCTCGTTGGTCACCGGTGCTGGAGACGGTAGTCTGAGAGGCTCGCCCCAGTCTTTCACCACGTCAAAGTTCAGGATGTCGGAAGTCGTAGCGCTCGAACATGACGGCTGGGAAGGATTCTTCAAGTTGAATTTCCTAGGTGGCTTAGGAGATGGTAAGCCGAGCGGAGTTCCCCATCCTTCCAAGGGGTCCTTCTTCGAGTCCCCTTTGGCATCGTCCTTCGCGTCGTCCCGGAAGGAGGACGATGGGTGCTCTCTTGCGTCCTCCGTCTCATGTCGAAGACTACCATTCGTATACCGAGGCGCGATGCCGCTGCTGAAGGCACCGCCGGCCTCCTTCATCTCCTTGTGCTCCATCAGAGCCTTGTCAAAGTCGAGATCGGCCTCGTCGACGTATCTCTTAGCCTCCGGCTTCTCTACGTAACCGCCGGCGAACTCCTTCTCGACCATGAACCGGCTGTGAACGGAGCCGAGCTCGCTGCTCTTTTGCATGCCGGTCTCCCCGTGGAAGGTCTTCATGGCGGAGATCTGCGGCGGTACCGCCGGCAATTCACCATAGAAGCTACTGCTCATCGCGGCCGCCGAAAACTCGACCGTCTTCTGCTCCTCTTCCTTATCGGAGGTCGGATCATGGCGATGTGTCGTCTGTGGGGAGTAGCCTACCTGTGAAGTCGAGGACAAGGGCGACGAGGGCGGTTCGTCGTCGGAATAAGTGTGCCTCTCTTCGCTGCTGCCCCACACGTGTGTCATGGCCTTGCTGCGCACGCTGCTATGGTCACTCGGCGGACTGACCGGTCCCCGATCTTTTTCGCTGGACGCATCGTCGGAACCCGGGCTGCCGCTGCGCTGCAGCTCCGTGGACTTGATGCTACCGATGATGCTGCTGATCGCGCTCTCCGCCGCATCCTTGCTCGGCAGACGCTCATCCACCTTCACGTCGGTCTTCTCCGCCAACACTACCGTCTCGCCCTTCTCGTTGGTCGTCTCCGTAACCTCGCGGGTGGTCGTGATTATCTCGCCCTCGTCGGAGATAGTCTTCGTGGTGGTGATGATGGTGCGAATCACCTCACCCGATCTGAACCCTTCCGGTGTGGCGGTTGATGAACGACCTTCGGATCTCCTGTCGGGAGTCGACCGGCCGGAGAGGTGCGGCTGCACCGCGGCGCCGTCTCTGATCAACGGCGACATGGGGATCTCCGGGGTGGACTTGCCGGTGGAGCCGCTGAAGACGATGTCCTTAGGCAAGGACATGTCGGGTGAGGACTTGCCGGAGTAGCTCTTGTCGTCAGATATCAGATCGCGCACCAAGGGCGACACCGAGTGCTCGAGTTTCTCCGTGCCCAGGCGCGCTTCCTTGGCTGCGGCTCCTTCAGGTTTATCTTCTTGCTTGGAATCAGGCGTGGACTTGCCGGAATCGTAGAAGGTTCTCACGTCAGGCGTAGACGTGCCTGACGTCACGGTCGCGATGGTCTCTTTCACGATCTTCTCCGCGGATTTGGCCTCCGTCGCGAGCTTACCGACCTTGTCGGCCGAGGTCGAGTCGATCAGCTTTTCCAATAGCTCTTCGCTGTCCACGGTGTCGCTGCTCTCTGTCACGTCTTTCTTCGTGGTGACCTTGCCGTCTGGGCCGGTTATCGTGGTCACCGTCGTGACGATCCGCTTCACATCGGCGCTGGCCGTCGTTGAGTCTGCTGTACCATCGTCGCTCACAACTTTGTAGGCCGTACCTGAAGTGGGGTCTGTATAGATCTTGGACGGGTCGGCCTGCGACAGTTCACTGTCCGACAGTTCTTCCGTTACGATAGTTTTTGTAGTCTTCGTGGTGATCGTCTTGACGAATTCACCAGAGTCCTCTTTGAAGTCGCTCGTCTCTTCGTCGGGGACAATGACCTCGCGCTTGATCACTTTTGTGATAATCTCCGGCTCATCTTGTTCGATGATCTCGCGCTTTACCACCTTGGTCACCACTTCCGGTTCGCCATGCTCTACGATTTCGCGTTTAATAATCTTGGTAATCGCCTCGGGCTCGTCTTGTCCTCTGCTCGGATGTTTAACTTCTCTGGCGCCTGCCACTTCAGGTTCTTCTTGCTCGATCACTTCGCGCTTTACTATTTTCTTCACTACTATGACGTCACCGTCGTGTTCAGTTTGTTCCGTCACTTTAGTCATCTTTTCAGGTTCTTGTTCTTCAACTATTTCGCGTCTCACTACCTTCTTCACCACGATCACATCGTCGGCAGCTTCAACGTCACCAGACGTAGTCGCTCCTTTGCTAACAGTCTCAGGTTCGTCTTCAACTTCGACCATCTCGCGTTTTATCACCTTTTTCACTACGATCACGTCGCCGTCGATCGATTCTGACTTGTCGTGCTCGCTGATCTCATGTTTGCCCAGCTTCGTGATCGTCTCCGGCTCGTCTACGATCACCTCTCGCGTGATTATCTTGTGAACTACGTCAACATCTTCCGGCAGCCCCATAGGCTCTTCGGACTCATTCTTGTCGCTGCTCTCCCGTCTCCCCAGTTTCGTGGCCTTCTCGTCAACCTCTTTCGAAATTTCGCCGGACGAACTGACATGTGATGTTAAGCTGAAAGTTCGCATCGCTTCGCCGGGTTTCCCATCCTCCTCGTCTTTCGGCGCGCCAGTCGTGGGCTGAGCGGCTCGCGGTCGCTTACTGGACGTTTTGTCGCCAGGATCGACCCCGGACTCGGGAGTCGCATCGTGCGTGGTGTACTCCGGTGTAGACTTGCCGGAAAGCGTGGTGATGTGCGTTGTCCTCATCTCCGTCATGCCACCGACGAAAGCCTTGTGAAACTGACTCTCGTAGCCCATCATGTAACCGGACTTGTCCAACTGTTGCTCATCCGAGTCCGAGTACATGTACTTGACCGGAGGCTTTTTAGCGTCCGAGAGCTCGTATTCGCCACCTGCCGCCGATCTATCAAACCTGTCGTGATATATCGCCTTCTCGTAGTCCTCATCCGACTCCTCCTCCTGGTAGATCTCCAAATCGGTGACGGACTCCCGCGGGTATTTTCTCTTCAGTATGATCTCTTCCACGATCTCCAGGATGATGTAGCGGGGCAAAGAAGTCTTAATGATTATCTCTTCAAGCGTCACCTCTGTGATTTTCCTGCCCTTCTTGATGTACTCCTCTTCCAGCAGCTTCTCCGTCTCCATCCGCTTCTCCTCGGACAGCAGAATCTCCTCATCGATGTGCGGTTCCGACCGAGCTGGACTATCCTGGGTCGACTTGTCGGAAGGAATAAGCTCTGGGCTGAGGCTGGGGCTGGCCGGGAGGCGCCTGTCCGGCGGTCCTCCGGATCGGCTGGCCTACAGGTGGATACCTGGCGTGACTGCTCTCTGTCGTCCTGGATACTTTTTTTTTTTTACGATGATCTTCGATTATGACGTACCCGGTCCCCGAAGAATGATGATTTCTTCCAACAGCTCCGGCGTGATCTTCTTCTTCTTCGCGATGAACTCGTCGTCGATATAATTCTCTATCTCCACTACTTTCGCCGGTGCGAGTGTTTCCGGCGACTTCTCCTGCTTGGTCGGTTCTTCTTCATCGACGAAGTCGAAGACCGAATTTCTCGGCATCTTTCGCCGACTGATGATGTCTTCGATGATCTGCATCACGATGAACTGGGGCACCAAGTACGTCATCACCAACTTCTCAATCACCGTCAGAGTAATCTTTCTCTTGCGAATAATGAACTCTTCCAAGATGTATTTCTCGATCTCGGCCTTCTTCTCGGCTGTCACTTGAACGACGTCCTCCTCTTCGTGGTCCAACCTCTCCGTCTTCGTCAGCTGCACAGCCTCCGGCTCTTCGAAGTCGGCGAATCGCTTCTCGCGAATCTTCCTGAGTTCTTCTTGGATCTCCTCAGGGGAAGTTATGGGACTCTTCGATTTCGGTGAGCTCTTAAGTCCGTCTTTCTCGTCGAGCGAATCTTTCTCCGTTGCAACAGGTTTAGCGGCATCCTTCTGCTCCTGAGGAAGCACCTTTTCGGCCAGCTTATCTTCGAATAGACTGGCCGTTCGAGATCTGCTGGCCGGGCTCTTCTCCTCGACGTCGAAGACACTCTGCGAGCGCGATCGCTCCTTCGGGCTCTTGTCCATCGGCGAACTCGCCTCTGACAACTTAGCGGACTCACTTTTCGGTATTTGACCGACCTCTAGACTCGGCGAGACTGACTGATCTCCTTTCGTCTCCGGCTGCGGGATCTTGGTGCCCGCATCAAGCTTCTCGCTGACGATACTGGATGATCTAGACTTGTCCTTAACAAGCTTCTCGTCGGCCAAACTCGGCGACTTGGAGGCCTCGGACGGTGATTTTGGCTCAGTCTTGTCGCTGATAATGCTCAACGATCTCGCCTTATCAATCAGGCCAAAGCCGTCCGTCAGGTCGGACGTTGGCAAGCCATCAATGTCAATTCTATCGAGCTCCTGCGTATCATCCATCATTTTGTCAAGGACTATGCTCGGGGAAGGCGGCTTTTTATGCGCCTGGGATGTGTCATCGGCCGGTCTCACGTCCAGTTGCTCGAAAACCTTCAAGGGTTTCTCCCCGATGTCTTTCTCCTCCGGGATTTTTACGTCCACGAGACTGGGGGACTTGTCGATAGCGTCTTCGTAGTGTTCTTTGCCACCAAGCCTATCGTCCGAGGTCTTCTCATCCGACGATTTCTCGCTGACGGTGCTGGGAGATTTGCTAAGATCAACAGGCTCTAATTTGTCAGAGACCGTAGGTGATATAGGCTTCCCGGTTGCGTCCGTTCTGTCGCTCGCGACGCTGGGCGACCTGGATTTCTCCATCGGCGGCTCCATCACGTCCTTTAGGTCCGGCTTCTCCTCCGTTACGCTAGTCGGTTTCGAGGCCTCGGCGGACTTCTTGCCGTCGGACTTGTCGCTCGCCACGCTCGGAGACTTGCTTCTGTCGAGCGGCTCCTCCGCTTTGTGAAGGAGCGTGGGTGACACCGGCTTCTCGACCGGTTCCTTGTGCCCGCCTGTTTCACTTGTCACACTGGGCGACCTGGACTTATCCAGTGCCGGCTCCAACACGTCCTTCAAGTCATCCGTGTCCCCGGCAACGCTTGATGGCTTGAAAGCGGCGGTCGACCTTGCATCTTCGGACTTCTCGCTCGGCGATTTGCTCCTATCGGCTTCGTCTCTCTTGTCTGTGGCTGGAGACTTGGCCTTCTCCGGTGGCTCTTTCGGTTCAGACGCGATGCTCGCGACGCTCGGCGACTTAGACTTGTCCATCGGCTGCTCTGCGACATCCGCCAAGTCAAGCTTGTCCTCGGCAATACTCGACGACTTGGAGTCACCGGGTGATCTCTTGTCGTCGGATTTCTCACTCGTTACGCTCGGCGATTTGCTTCTGTCTACCGACTCCTGTTTACTGTCGGAGACAGGGCTCTTACGTTCGTCTGTCGGCTTTTCCTCATCGTCGCTAACACTTAGAACGCTTGTTGGCTTCTCGACCTGCTGCTCCAAGCTTACATCCACCAGATCCGCCTTCTCTCCGGCAATACTCGGCGACTTGGCACGCTCGAGCGGCTCCTTCTGCTCGCTCGTGACACTTATGACGCTAGGTGACCTCGATTTTTCTGTTGTCGCCTCCGTGACGTCCTTTACGTCAGGTTTCTCTCCGGCGATGCTCGGCGACTTTGAGCGATCCGCTGGTTCCTTCGACTCCTCTGTGGTGCTGATGACGCTTGGGGATTTGGATTTACCCAGAGGTGGTTCCAAGGCTTCCTTCACGTCGGGCTTTTCTCCGATGATGCTCGGCGACTTTGAGCCATCTGCTGGCTCCTTTGGTTCCTCTGTAGTGCTGACGACGCTCGGGGATCTGGACTTATCCAGAGATGGTTCCAAGGCATCTTTCACGTCAGGTTTCTCTCCAGTGATGCTTGGTGACTTGGAGCGATCTGCTAGCTCCTTTGGCGCCTCCGTAGTACTGACAACGCTTGGAGATCTAAACTTATCCAGAGGCGGTTCTAAGGCGTCCTTCAGGTCGGGCTTTTCCTCAGTGATGCTCGGTGATTTTGAGCGATCCGTTGACTCCTTTGGTTCTTCCGTAGTACTGACAACGCTTGGAGATCTGGACTTATCCAAAGACAGTTCCAAAGCATCCTTCCCGTCGGGTTTCTCCCCAGTGATGCTCGGTGATTTTGACCGATCCGTTGGCTCCTTTGGCTCCTCCGTAGTACTGACAACGCTTGGAGATCTGGACTTATCCAGAGACGGTTCCAAGGCATCCTTAATGTCGGGCTTCTCTCCAGTGATGCTTGGTGATTTGGGGCGATCTGCTGGCTCCTTTGGCTCCTCCGCGGTACTGACGACGCTCGGGGATATGGATTTATCCAGAAGAGGTTCCAAGGCGTCCTTCAAGTCGGACTTTTCCCCAGCGATGCTCGGCGACTTTGACCGATCCGTTGGCTCCTTTGGCTCCTCCGTAGTACTGACAACGCTTGGAGATCTGGACTTATCCAGAGACGGTTCCAAGGCATCTTTAATGTCGGACTTCTCTCCAGTGATACTTGGTGACTTGGGGCGATCTGCTGGCTCCTTTGGCTCCTCTGCGGTACTGACGACGCTCGGGGATCTGGATTTATCCAGAAGCGGTTCCAAGGCGTCTTTCAGGTCGGGCTTTTCCCCAGCGATGCTCGGCAACTTTGAGCGATCCGCTGGCTCCTTTGGCTCCTCTGTAGTACTGACAACGCTTGGAGATCTGGACTTATCCAGAGATGGTTCCAAGGCATCTTTCACGTCAGGTTTCTCCCCAGTGATGCTTGGTGACTTGGAGCGATCTGCTGGCTCCTTTGGCTCCTCCGTGGTACTGACAACGCTTGGAGATCTGGACTTATCCAGAGGTGGTTCTAAGGCGTCCTTCAGGTCGGGCTTCTCCCCAGTGATACTCGGTGATTTTGAGCGATCCGCTAGCTCCTTTGGTTCTTCCATAGTACTGACAACGCTTGGAGATTTGGGCTTATCCAAAGACAGTTCCAAGGCATCCTTTACGTCGGGTTTCTCCCCAGTGATACTCGGTGATTTTGAGCGATCCGCTGGCTCCTTTAGTTCTTCCGTAGTACTGACAACGCTTGGAGATCTGGACTTATCCAGAGATGGTTCCAAGGCATCTTTCACGTCAGGTTTCTCCCCAGTGATGCTTGGTGACTTGGAGCGATCTGCTGGCTCCTTTGGCGCCTCCGTAGTACTGACAACGCTTGGAGATCTAGACTTATCCAGAGGCGGTTCTAAGGCGTCCTTCAGGTCGGGCTTTTCCTCAGTGATGCTCGGTGATTTTGAGCGATCCGTTGACTCCTTTGGTTCTTCCGTAGTACTGACAACGCTTGGAGATCTGGACTTATCCAAAGACAGTTCCAAAGCATCCTTCACGTCGGGTTTCTCCCCAGTGATGCTCGGTGATTTTGAGCGATCCGCTGGCTCCTTTAGTTCTTCCGTAGTACTGACAACGCTTGGAGATCTAGATTTATCCAGAAGCGGTTCCAAAACACCCTCCACATCAGGTTTCTCTCCGGTGATGCTCGGTGACTTTAAGCGATCCGCTGGCTCCTTCTGGTCGCCTGTGAAGCTTACAGGACTGGGCGATTTAGACTTCTCCAGGGGCGGTCCGGTCGTGTCCTTATCGTCTGGTTTCTCTCCAGCCATGGTGGGCGGTTTGGAGAGATCAATCGGTTCCTTCTGCTCACTGCTGGTACTGATGATACTGGGCGACCTAGACTTCTCCGCTGGCGCGTCGGTTTCCTTCTCGTCTGGCTTCGTCGTGGGCAAGCTCGGCGATTTAGCCGGTTCCTTCTGCTCCCCGGTCACACTCGCGGTGCTGGGTGATCTGGATTTCTCTGGTTCGGCGAGGTCTTTTAGGTCTGGCTTCTCCTCGGCGATACTCGGCGATTTAGAGAGATCGGTCGGTTCCTTCTGCTCACCGGTAACGCTGGGCGACCTGGACTTATCGAGAGGTGCCTCAGCTGCGTCCTTCAGGTCTAGTTTTTCTCCGGCGATACTCGGAGACTTGGAGAGATCGGTCGGCTCTTTCTGTTCGCCGGTGATACTTATGACGCTTGGAGACCTGGATTTTTCCACTGCAGGCTCAACGACATCTTTCATATCCGGCTTCTCGCCGACAGTGCTTGGAGATTTGGAGCGGTCCGATTCCTTTTGCTCAGTACTGACGCTCACAACGCTGGGCGACCTCGACTTATCGAGTTCTGTGACGTCTTTCTGGTCCGATTTTTCGTCCGCGACGCTCGGCGACTTGGATCGGTCTTTGTCGGCCACGATGCTCGAGACACTCGGAGACCTCGTCTTCTCGGCGGGCTCTTCGAATTTCTCTCCGATGGGGCTCGGGGACTTTCTCGTTTCCTCCATTGGCTGTTGCTCGACGATGCTGGGAGACGGCAATTTCTCACGGGGCTCTTTATCGCCCGCGTCTAATTTTTGCTCGACTGGACTGGGTGACTTGCTCTTGTCGAGGGGTTCTTCCGCTTTGTCGTCGACGACAGGTGACTTTTCCTTGAGGGTTGGCTCTTTAGGTTCGCTAACGGTACTCGCCACGCTCGATGATCGCGACTTGTCTATCGAGGGCTGCATCGAATCCTTCTTCAGGTCCCCCGCTTTGTCTTCGTCGAGGAGGCGCGGAGACTTGGGCTCGTCCTTTGGAACTTCAGCCTTGTCGTCCTTGACGCTCGCGACGCTGGGCGACCGGGCTTTCTCGATCGGTAGGTCCATGTCCTTGAGGTCTACTTTTTCTATGCAAATGCTTGGTGATCTAGAACGGTCACTTACTTTTTTGCTATCTGATTTATCACTAGCTACGCTGGGAGATCTATCTTTATCATGTGGTTCTTCAGTCTTATCAATAGCTTTAGGCGATTCTGGCCTATCAAAAATAGGGGATTTAGTTTTCTCTAAATAACACTCCGTCGCATCTTGAAGATCCGGTTGCTTGTCCACGGTTGCTATGCTCGGTGACTTGGAACGGTCGGCCTCCCTCTTCTCGTCGGACTGATCGCCGATCGCGCTCGGAGATCTAGCTTCGTCAATTGGTCCCTTTTCTTCGTAATGTTCACTCTCGAGAATAGGCGATTTCTCACTGACCGTTTCTTTCCTGATTGCACTAGGCGATTTCGGCTTGTCCTCTCCTGCCTTCTCTTCCTCAGCTTCCCTATCACTTGGAACGCTAGAAGGCTTATCGAGAGACTTATCATCGAACTTTTCGCTAATAACGCTCGGTGACTTAGATCTGTCCGCCGGCTCTTTCTCTTCAGGCTGCTTCTCGGCTTGTTCGATCGCGTCGGCAAGCTCCGGTTTCGCTTCCGCTACTTTCTCGTACTCTACGGGCGATTTTAATTTAACGTCACCTATTTTCTCGATAGTGTCCGCTTTATCCTCGATGATACTGGGGGATCTCGGCTTGTCGAGCGATCCGACTAAACTCTCCGCTAGACTTGGACGTTTGTCTCCGGTGACTCCTTCGGGAAGTTTCTCAGTCGCCGCACTGGGCGATGGCGACTTTCCCGCGACCTTGTCCTCGGTCGGTTCGGCCAATTTCAATTCCTCCGCCTTCACGCTGGCGACACTCGGGAAGCGCGATCTGTCTTCGGGCTGGGCGAGCAACTCGGCCTGCTGCGGGGACTTGGAACGTACCGATTCCTTACCCTCGGATTTCTCACTGGAGGCGCTCGAGGTATCCTTCTCGTCAGGTTTCTCGCTGCTCACGCTCGGCGACCTTGACTTCTCCGGCGGAACAACGTCTAGAAGTTTGTCGTCTTTGCTCTCTGGACTCGATGGTTTTTCTTTCGCCGGAGATACTGGCGCGTCCTTGTCCGCGATCGGCTTGGGTTCTTTCATTGGCTCGGCTGGTTTTGCAACGACCTCCTCGGAAGTGGCATCTTCCTCGCTAATGGGCGTTTTCGCGAAATACGTATCGTGCTTGTCCGTGGGCGATTTCGAGAATATCGTCTCGGCCGGTGAAATGTCCTCCGAACGGAGAGACTCGGGTGTCTTCGGGATGCCAGCTGCTTTCTCCTTTTCGGCTTCTGGAAGTATTTTCTCAATTGGAAGCATCGGCTTCTCGACCGCTTCTTCCGCTGGAGACTTCTCAAGAGGCGATTTGGCTTTTAGCGCGTCCTCAGGCTTCGTCTCCAGCGGTGTCTTTTTGTCCAGCGTTATATCGAGTGCCTGTGGGATGTCTCTCTCGTCGGGTTTGAGCTCTTTAGCTACCGCTTCCACGGCGGGTTTCGCTCCATCGACCTTCTCGACGGTCTCTTCGAGCGGCGATGGAGATTTCGACTTCGGTCTGTCCGTCTTCTCTTCAATCTCCTCAACTGGAGATTTCGGTTTTTCGAGCTGATCCTTGATTTCCTCAGCGGGAGATTTAGACTTGTCAGCTACTTGCTCAGCAGCGAGTTCGATGGGAGACTTTAATTTCTCGAGCTTCTCGGCAACTTCCTCCACGGGGGACTTCTCTTTTGCGATTTCACCCGTGTCCTTGACGGGCGACTTCGGCTCCGCGATTTCCTTCTCGGCGTCCTTCAGCTTACGCGACTCTGATTTTTCCAAACTGTCCTCGAGATCCTGCGAGTCGCGAGTGCCGATGGGCGATTTTTCCAGGCTGTCCTCTGGCGTGACTTTGTCCTTAGCGTCAAGTGGAGATTTCTCGGAGATGCTGTCCTTCTCCGGCGTGCTGACGCCCGAGTGTAACGAATCCTTGTCCATGAGTAAGGAATCCTTTTCCGGGGTAGACTTGACAGACGCGTCTTTAAGAGAGTCGTCCGGAGTGACGGTCTTTGTGAAGGTTATGGTGCCGGTGGGACAAATCTCAGTTTCTTCCCTGCCGTCTTCGCTGCTCGCTGTGACCAGCATTCTCCTCACGGTGCCAGTGTCTTCATCGACTTTCGACGGTTGATCCTCCAGTGATTTCTCAGCTTCTTCAATTTTTACCTTCTCGGCAAGCTCAGCATCTTCAACCTTTGCTTTTGGTGCTTCGTCCTTCGGTAGTTCCTCAGCTTCACCCTTCATTTTCTCGGGAAGTTCAGCGTCTTCAACCTTTGCCTTTGGCGCTTCGACTTCTGGCTCCTGTGAAACGCTCCTCTTTCTACGTGAAGCTTCTTCGGCCTCTTCTTGAGGACTCTTCTTATCCTTAATCTCTGTGGTTTCCAGCAGTTTGGGTTTTTTCTCGTCCTCAAGCAGATCTATTTTCGGTTCCGTCGCGAAACCTGTCGCGTCTGCCAACTTGGTTTCCGGCTTCGTCGCTTCCATGACCTCTTCGGGAGCCTTCTCTGCGACGGGAGTAGTCGGTTTTGATTTCACGTCCTTCATTGTAACTTTCGACTCGTCGGTCTCTTTATCTTTCACTGCGGGCTCAATTCCTTTCATCTCATCGATCGGACTTTGCGCAGAAGGAACTTCTGATACGACAACTGCATCAATCGACGGTCGCTTGTCGGAGATGACGTCTTTAGGTATCTCTTTTTCTTTCACCTCCTTGGGTTCATCTGCTTTCTCAGTTAAAGGTTTCTCCACCTTGTCAAGAGCCGGCGATACTATCTTTGCGATGGGCTCCTTCGGTGGAATGTCGTCCGTCTTTTCTTTAGCTTCGTCCAAGTACTTCTCCGTGGTGTCAACGATGTCCGATACTTCGGACGTCTCTGGCTCCTCGGGCTCCCGCTTCTCGTCGATGGGCTTCGTAACTTTCACTACCTCGACCAGAGGTGGTTCCTCTTTACCCACTTTCTCTTTGGTTTCTTGCACGAACTTCTCGTCCGCCTCAATCACCTCGCTCGTGGTATCCTCCGCGGCTTCCTCTTCGGTGTCTTCCTTCTCCCTCATCTCGTCGGCTTTCTCCGGAGACGTGACCGGCAAGTCGCGTACCTTGTACTCCTGCTCGACCGCCTCGAAATCGTCGATCACGTCCTTCTCGTGCTCCTTCGCAGCCAGCGGCGAAACCTCCGCTTTCACAGGAGACAACTCCTTCTTCTTCACTTCTATCTTTCCGTCGGAGATCCTTCTGGGTACATTGACAAAGCCATCCACCAATTTCTCCTCCTCCTCTTCCTCCTCCTCCTCAGGAGTAGCAGGTAACTCATCTTCGACGACTTCAGGCTCAGGCACGGCCTTCTTCTTGTCTTCTCTTGTTTCAGCCGGAAGTTTCTTTTCCTCGCCCGGACTAGCTGCTTCAACGACTGACTTCCTCTTCTCAGCCGCTGGCACTTCCGGTTCCGGCGACTGTTTTTTTTCTTTTTCTTCTTTCTCTTCTTCTTCCTTTTCTTTCTCCTCCTCCTCTTCTTCTTCTTCTTCTTCAATTATGCGTAGTACTTCTTCTTCGGTCATGTTGAACACCACACGCCTCGGCATCTTTCTCTTGATAATGATCTCCTCAATAATCTCGATAACGATTCTCTTAGGCACCTTCAACTTGCCGCAGATTTCTTCGAGCTTCTGAACGGTGATGCTGTCACCCTTGGCGACATATTCATTGACAACGTACTCCTCGAATTCTGCCAGTTTCTGCGGAGTTACCAGCTCTTCCGTCTCCGCGGTAGGAACCTCAGCGATTGATTTTCGCTTCTCATCCAAGACTTCTGCCTCCGGTTTTTCTTTTTCTTCTTCTTCTTCTTCGCCTTCGGGAGTCCTTGCGATTATCGCCGATATCTCCTCCTCGGTGATCTCAAGTACCGTGTTCCTGGGAACCTTTTTTTTAATGATGATCTCCTCGATAATCTCAACGAGGATTCGCTTAGGAACGGTCTTCTTGGCGGAGATCTCTTCGATCGTCGACTTGTCAATCTTTTTGCCCTTTGCAACGTACTCGTTAACGACGAATTCCTCCAATTCCGCTTGCTTCTGCAGCATAATCGGCTCCTCCGGTTCGGCCGGGGCGCTGGGAAGCTTCACGACTGATTCTCGCTTCGCCGTGATGTCTATTTTCGGCGTTACTTGTTCTTCCGCCGACTCTTCCGGTGACTCTTCCGGCGATTCCTCCTGAACGATTTCCGACAACACCTCGTCCGGAACGTCGAACACCATATGTCTGACGATCTTCCTCTTAATGATGATCTCCTCGATAATCTCGATGACAATTTTCTTAGGCACGACTTTCTTGATTGAAATCTCCTCGACCACCTGTATGGTGATTCGTTTGCCCTTGACGATGTACTCGTTAACGATGTACTCTTCGACCTCCATTCTCTTCTCCGGCGTGATCGGTTCCTTCAGCTTGAGAATCTCAGGATCATCCACCACGCTCTCCCTTGGCAAGCCCTTCTTCATGATAATCTCCTCGATTATGTAGATCACACGTTCCCGCGGGATACGCTTCACCACGGTGATATACTCGATCACCTCGATAGTAATCTTCTTCTTCTTCGTGATGATCAGTTCCTCGATAATCTGCTCGACGGGCGCTTCCTTGCCGAGAACCTCCTTCACGTCATCGGGCAACTTTGGTGGCTCCTCTGCGATTCCCGAAGGAGGACTCACTTTCAATTCTTCGTCGTACATCCTGTCCGTGCTGAATTTTGGCGAGGTCGGTGCCGAATCGGGCGTCACCATTACTATTTCTGCCTTCGCCGGGGACATCTTCTGCTCGAAGCCAATCACGGGTTGCTCTATCTCGCTCTCCGGTAGCTTGTCCTCAAAAGATGGTCGTTTGGCCACCTCCTTTACACACACGGTCTCGACTCCGGCTTGCAGCACGTCCATTTGTGGAGACACATCGTGCTCGGCCGGTATCTCAGCCTTGCAAATGTGTTCGTCGTCCTTTAGCATCTCCTCGCAAATCTTTTGAGCACCCTTGATGTCTTTCAGGGTATCCTCCTTCGCGTGCGGCATCATTACATCTTCCTCTTTCTTTGCTACTTTCACGCAAGGTTCTTCTTTCACAACGTCAGGTTTCTCGTATGGCGTGAGCGGCTTCTCGGTCTCCTGGATGAGCTCCTCGACCTCTTCGTGGACTGGAATTTCTTCGGTAACACCGACTTTCCTCGGAATCACGATCGACTTGAGGTCGGCTTTGGGTTCCTTCTCGACTACTTCAGTGGCTTCCTCCGGAGATTCCTTTCCACTCGGTACAGAAGGCTTCTTCTCCGCCGAAAGCGGCGTGATTTCTTCCTTTGAAGGCTTCCTGTCCGTTGGAACAGGCGAAATTTCTTCTCTCGAAGGCTTCCTGTCGATCGGGATCGGTGAGATCTCCTTCTCCTCTTTTTTAGCGGGCTCCTCGAACAACGTCTTGTGGGACAGAAAATCATCCTCCTTGAGGACCTCGGCGACCTTCTTCACGATTTCTATGACGTCCTTAGGCTTGTCGTCGATTTCGATACCGGCAGTGCCAGCGAGCACTTCTCCGACGTCCCTGACAGCTTCCTTCACGTCCCTGAATGGCCTCACCGGTTCCTCCTCTTCGTATTCCTCCTCAAAATCTTCATCCTTCGGTATGTCGAATTTCACTTTCTCCGCTTCCTTTATGTCGGGCGAAAGGCTTTCGACGTGTGTGATCTCTTCTAATTTTTCAATCACCCCTTCCAAGGTATCCTTCACTGCATCCGTCAAGGTAGGCTGTAATTCGTGTAAGGCCGCGGCCATTTCTTCCTCTTCCTTGATCTTCTCTTCCAAGGATTCCAGAGAATCTCTCAAGCTATCCTTGACGGTTTTGAATTTCTTTGACGCTTCCTCCAGGAGAGCCTTCACCTCTTCAGCATCCTCCTCAATACCCTCTTCTTTCAGCAGCTCGATCTCCTTTGCAATTTCTAGATCCTCGGGCGGTTTCACCGGCGAAATTATGGTCGGCGACTTTTCCTTCCTAAACGGTGCCGGCTCGATGTCGACTTTGGTGATGATCTCTACCGGTTTTTCGGTCGGTAGTTTCTCTTCGGCATCTGGTACACTTTGCTTCCTTGCGTCCTGTATTTCTTGTTGTATAAACGCCGCAGTTTCTTTGATCGCGGCCATTTTCACGTCGGTGACCGTGGGTTTCGCCTCTTCGAAGGTCTCAGGTTTGTCGGTGAGCTTGCCAACCTTGGGGAACATTTTCTCCATGTCAACCTCCTCGAGAACCGTCTTTTCCTGAACCTTCGCTTCCTTCGGGGAGCTCGATTTCGAGGACGACTTTTCATCAGAGTCTTTGTCGGTGTCCTTCTTCGTCTTCTTGGTTAATTTATCGATACCTTTCTCGAACTTGTCTGCAACTTTACCGAAGAAGCTGAAGACACCCTTCTGCTCCTTGACAGGCGGTGTAGGCGGTTCTTTGACCTCTTGTGGTATTGGGGACGGTTTCTCCTCTTTCCCCTTCTCGAAGTCTTCCATCCTGTAGAGTTTAGGATCGACTTCTTCGTGGACCGGCAGATCGGCGACTTCGTCAGGCGTCTTGACGATGTCCCTCTGCAGGCTCTGCATTGCCTGACGAACATCGAACACCTTAACTTCCGGCTTCGCAGCCACGGGGACAGTTTCCGTGACAATCTCTTCTTTTAGCTTCGTCGGCGCGTCCTTCTCTTTCACCTCCTCGATAACGTGCTTCTCGTCGATGTCCTCCTTTATCTCGTCCAACGGTATTCGCTCGTCTTCGGGTAAGGTCGGCGCGGTGGTGGTGGCTCCGGATTCAATGGTGGAAATTCGCTCCTGCGATTCCTCCATCTTTTCAAGGACATGCTCCTTCTGGTCGACATCCGGTTTCAGGTCGGTGTCGGTGGTCTTCTTCTCCGAAGAGTCCAGCTTGTCTGGGCTGAGACTGGACGGCTCCTTCGTAATGTCCTCGCTATCCTTTTTGCCAGAGTCATCTTTCTCCTCGGCCTTTTGCACAATCTCGGCCGCGGAGGCTATAATCTCCTTTACCTCCGCCTGCAACTGCTCTTTGTGCTCGATGGTCAGATCAGCGACCTCTTTCTCTTCCTTCTCTACGGCCTTCTCAACGGCCTTCTTCTCCGGGCTTTCATCTTTGCCCTTCTCCTCGGGCTCCTCTTTCTCACCCTTCTCTTCCACGTCTTTTAGTATCTTCGCCTTCTCTGATTCAGCTTCATCGAGGACATGCTTCGGTTCGCCTTCGCCGCTCTGAACAGAGTCCTCGGTGTAGACTTCTTCCTTCTCCACGATGAGGTACTCGTCTTCCTCAGTCAATTCTTGGCTCTCTTTCCGGGAACCTTCTTTTTTGGGGACGTCCTCAATCTCAGCGGTAACATCCTCCTCCGTGATGTCCTCTTCTTTCTTATCTGTGGCTTCGGCCGTAATTTCATCGTCTCCCTCGAAACGATCGTCTTTTCGAGTCTCTTCGATCCTCTCTGCCTTTTGAAGCACAGCTTCAATCTCCTCTACGACCTCTCGTTCTTCTTTCAGGTCCGCCAGCACTTTGCTCTCTATTGAGTCCAGCGAGATGTCCTCCGACCGCTCAATTAAGCTCTTGTCAATTGGCTTCACTGCCTCTGGCTCAATACCGGACGGAGTGGAAACCGTGGACGAGTCGGTGGTCCCTTTATCGCCCTTCACCTTGCGGATCACGCCATCCTTGTCCGACTTGACGGAAGTAGTCGGCGTGCTGCGAGTAGACTTGGCCGGACTGCCCGGCATACGAGCTTTGCTCGGGCTGACCGGTTTGGCGCGACGGCTGATCGGCTTGCGATCCATCGGCTTCGGCTTTGCCGAGACCTTGATCATGGGCGCCGCCGCGGTATCCTTCACACCGGACTTCTCGATGTTCTTCTGCTCCACCACCTTTCTATTGTTGGCTTCCTTGGCGCTCTTCGCCGGAAGACTAGGCACGGCCTTGGGCGCCGGTTTCGCCTTCGGCACAGCCTTGGAGATTTCTGTCCGTGTGGCGACGCCATTCAAGGTTTTCTTCGGGGTGGTCGGGGAAGACTTCATAGCGTCCTTTTTCTCCATACTCGCAGGCTTTATTTTTTTCTCGCTTGGCTTCGGCTTCACTTCGCCGCGCGCGGCCTTCATCACGGCTCTGCCGCCATCTTTTGGTTCCTTCTTCTTCGGCTCGGGTCTCGGCTTGGCGGGCTCCTTGGCTTCCTTGGGTTCCTTGAGTTCCTTGGGTTCCTTCGGCGCAGTCTTCTCGGACTCCGGTTTGATTAAGTCAGTCTTTTTGATATCATCCTTCTCGGCCTTCTCCTTAGCCAGCTCCTTTTTCGGCTCCTTCTTCACCTCCTTCAGCTCCTTCTCGATCTTCTTGCTCTCCTTCGCGTCGGGCTCGATCTTCTTCGTCTCCTTCACCTCGGTCTCAATCTTCTTGTTCTCGGCGATCTTCTTCGTCTTCGTCTCGGACCTAAGTTTACTCGTTGGAATAATCGGGGTAGATTGCGGGGTGCCTTTCGGCACCTCCTCCGCGGCCTTGATCGACTTGGGTTCTGACGTCTCTCGCTTGTCTTTCCTCGGCTCCGAGATCCTCTTCGAATCCTTCTCGATGAGAAGCTTCTGCTTGGCCGGCTTGTCCCTGAGCGTTGCCAACGACGTCGACGGCGACAGCGTTTTTGCCGAGCATACCGGGTGCTTAAGGAAGTCCAGGTGCTTCAGCCGCTCGAAGCCTTCGAAGATTTTGTGCTGTGGTGTGCTGCCAGGGAAGAGAATTCGCGTGATGGTGTCTTCGGGATTGGCCGGCTGCCAGACCAAAAGCGCGCATATCGACACGAGGTTTTGAATGGGGAATGTGAGATTGTTCGTATCCTTCTTGTGGGAGCCGGCGAATAGCTTCGAGTCCGACGCGTGCCATTTCGCCAAGAACTCGCGCACCTCGCGACTGTCCTTGCTCGGGCTGAGGACGTACATGTCCAGCGTGCCGTGACCCACTTTGTGGTACAGATTGATCGGATCGGGGTCCCGGTAGCAGGGGTGGGCACGGAGATTGATGTGCCGCAGGTTCAGCACCATCTCCTGACCGATGTCAGTGAGATTCAAAATCAAAGGATCGATGTCTTTGTCGCCGTCCGGTGAATTTGATTGTCTTCTTTCCTGTAGTACATATAATTTGCGTTATTTGTGCCAGCCCGCGGTTTTCAGCGACAAAGTTGCGCACGAGAAAATAAAAGAATAAAGTTATAAAAGAATTATTGGATGTATTATCTATTGTCACTATTTCCAAAATTTTTTCCTCCTTTCTTTGCTTCTTCCTTCCGATTATGTTGCATGTAATATACTAAAGAGATTCCCGTAGATAAATAAATAAATAAATAAATTCGTTGCACATAAAATTACAATTAATTATGTATAGTTATTAAGCCCTTCGCTACGGTTGAGCTTATGTTCACGGTTGCAACTACGATTTCGCCGTCGCACAATAAACAATGGCACTGCAATCGCTTTTTTACAGGGAAAAAATTCGATTGTTATAACTGAATTTGTTATTTTATGAATTTATTCTCTGGGGACTTGATGGAAATTCGGCAGTTGTCTGAATTTTAACACAGCTGAATATTCAGACGAGTGTATTTTCGCGATAACAGAGAGATCGTCATTGATTGTTGTCGAAATCGAGTTTCCGTTCGGTTTCTTTCTAGAAACTTTTCATTTCTGCAAGTGTAGCGGAAATTTAGTTACTACGCGAGCCGAATTCTTTTCTCACATAGAAGAAAATGACTAAGAAGCGGCAGCGTGTTGTCCTAAAAAAGGTTTTAGCTAGGCGCCATTATATTAACGCGCGACAGCGGAAAGGTCAAAGTCGTAAAGATATCAACGAAGAGATAAGAATACTTACAACTAAGTTACAGAAGAAATGGCCGATCTGAGGGTAGACGTGCATCTCCTTCTTCTTGCGAAGAACGCTGAACATGCCGCCGATGTTGCTATTATTTATCCTAGTGACTAGAACTGCGTCCAACCGGTCCAGATGCCTGGTGAAGTCCCAGAAGCAAGCTTTCCTGGCGAAGCCGCCGTCGACGAGCATGTTGAAGCCGTTTATACCGAAAAGCGCGGCGTCACCTTGCCCACCGGGGAAGACGTATAAAGTTGGATGGCTAAATCTAATGTTTCCAACGACGTCGGACGGTTCCATGAGCTGGTCCAGTGTTTGCGCCACGAGATACTGTCCGATGTAATTCGTGAAACTCGTGATGGCCGGCACGCCGGCTGTGAGAACATCGTCGGGATTCACTCTGACTCTGCAAGATCTGGAAACAGATGAACGATGATAAGGCACACGGCAGTGAGATGACAAGATTATCGACAAGTTTTCGCGGAGACTTCCAACAGTCCACGTACGATTATTGACACTTATAAATCTTCGTAATATATTTATATATTATGCAATTAATTAATTGAATCAGAAACTGAATCAGATGTAGTTGAATATCATATAACGCACGTATAATTTTTTCAGATATATATTATTATACAGGGTGTTTCACAGACAGAACTCGCAACCTCTAATTTATCGAGATATTCTTCCAACAAACTATAGGCAATTTTTCCCCAGCGACGAAATCAGCTTGCAGTTAAGCCCGAAGTGGAAATTTTATCGAAGCCCTTCCAAGATTGATCGAAGAAAATTATTAAGTTGCTGCATTTATTCGCTCGCAATTTAGTTCTCGAGAAAGGTCCAGCTTTTCTCACATTCAATCAGATACGTCGTGTTTTCGCGATTGCAGCGGCGGCTTCTGGTGCGCGAACGGCGAGGTAATCGGAAATATCGCCTTTATGCAAAAACGCACGAGGTACGCACCTGCAACAAGTCTCCTTCGATAATCGACTCGTCGTCCAATCGCCGACACCCGCACAATGTATATCTACGGTAACACTATTCTCGTAGGCACGAAGGACTCTTTGCACCTCATGTTCACTGAACGCATCCAGAAAGTCTGCGAGACTGAAGGTTCCATCCTGAATAACAGTATTGATCGTGTTGCTAATTCGCGATAACTCTTTCAGAATCCGCGCGTGGCGGATGACGCGTATTGTCAATAGCGTTCATTTGCGCGGCCGTGCGAGGTGTGTGGAAAAAAAAACGTACCTGCAGTATCCAGGAACCGTTACCACCGAATGTGTATCCAGCGTGTATGATGTGCCGATGTTTGGTGAAGCTTGCGAGAAGGTTGCGAATGCACTGTAACAGCGTATTCGTCTGCGGGTGTATGAGAACTTCCGTCACGAGGTTCTCGGTGGCATATTGGATCAACCTTTCGCCTGAAAAGCCCATTCTTTCGTTTTACCGACGCGCGTTGCGCGGCGAAATGACACCGGTGGTATCGTAAAAATTTCGTTACACGCGGAGCGGACAGAGCTATTTTTCATATTACATTCTCTTCAACTTCGCCATTTTTTCAGACTTGGACTTCTGTCGCCGAACGAAACTGTTTGGCGGCTCAGTTCTTCAAATGTAAACGGTGCGTGTGAGACGGGAAGATAACAAATTAAAGCGGGACGCTGATGCTCTCCAGTTGGAAAATAGGCAATTCTACGATAATTTTCACTGTAAACTTTTCCCCGTGTGTAACATAATGCAGTGAAACAAATTACGGTAAGAAATCACAAAAGACCACACTGCTGTACTACACCGCAAAAATCACACGCTACGCACGTAGCATGAAAATGTATATATTAAATAAACTCTACGATTGTACGGAGCAAATTGAGGGACATAGTAAATTTTATAATAGTATACTTTAGTCTCAATGTAAAATACATACAGCGCGTATAACAAAAGCAAACAAAAGCATAACGAATTCAGGCAGAACGTCGATTTGTCTCTCGGCTGCGAAACTCTGTAGTGATTTTTGCTACAAAATTCTCTCCGTGTACGATACTAATATTGAACGTCACCCATATCCATATATACACACATGATGCCGGCATTATATCGAAATTTTCATAATACCGTATTTCCAGGAATTTTTTGTCGTCGTTTTTTTTTTGGTTGTTAGCAGTGTGAGAAACGAATCGCGAAAGCGGTATCTTTTACACCGGTTCGAATTCTCGCTCGAAAAAATAATTACCGTTTCTGGCTTCTTCGCCTTCGGGGGCTTGTGCTACTAAGGCCAATAATTCTTTCTCCAGATCCACATGACAGCTGTCTTTGTCCCATGATAGAAAACCTATAACAAACAAAGACGGTGATCGCTAAATATAGCTGAACTTTCCAGTTGAGCCTTCCTCATACATATTAAGCGGATCGTCGCAATATCGAAAAATTCCTAAGGACGGAGTCTGCTTATAAATCTTCACTCTTCGAGTCTGAGTGTGTAACTTTAGGTAATCCAGCGACATGCTTCTTCTTCTTCTTCTCTCTCTCTCTCTCTCTCTCTCTCTCTCTCTCTCTCTCTCTCTCTCTCTCTCTCTCTCTCGTGAACTTGGCCAAGCTTTTCCGAGCCTGGCCCTGATATTTTGAATAGAAAGTAGGTTGTTCTCGTTTTAGATCATCAGAGCGTATGCGCGGCGTTAAACCCCAGAGATATATCCGCCATTGCCTTAAGCGGATGTTGTCAGAAATTGGATGACAGGAGGAAACCCAGAGATTACAATTTCCGCCGCAAAACGCACCTGCCTGTTTCATTCTGAATGAAAAGCACAAATATTATCGAAAGAAATATAAATAGGATCCCGTGGAAGTTAACAAATAAAATCTGACTTATGAGAGCCAACGAGGTTATGAATGCGTTCACTTGCAAAAATTTAATTCAAAAACAGTTCAAAACGTTGAAGCGTCTATTATAAATATTGACTGTATCTGATCCATACTTTTTGTTTACAGCTGTGGTGTTTACTGCAAAAGGTTCCCAATAGACTGCAATGTTTAACTTTCCCAACTTTTTCAAACGTATATGTTGTATAACGTTTGAAAAAGTTGGGAAAGTTAAACATTGCAGTCTATTGGGAACCTTTTGCAGTAAACACCACAGCTGTAAACAAAAAGTATGGATCAGATACAGTCAATATTTATAATAGACGCTTCAACGTTTTGAACTGTTTTTGAATTAAATTTTTGCAAGTGAACGCATGTATATGTTGTATAACATTCGAGAACAACTGCACTGATTCATATAGACTAGGCGGCAATTTCATTTATTAAACACCAGCGATCATAATGTTGCTTAATTTAGACGTGTGTAAATTCGTCACGAGCAATCCCAACCTAGTTGTCGTCAAAGTTCAAGACATCCGCGGGGGTTAGTAAGACAGTGGGTCATAACTGCGTATAAATGCGCAAGAACGCAGCGATCTGGCTTCATAGAGGTAGGGTAGGTTCAGTTACCAAGAATGATGTAAGGTTAAGGTTAAGATAGTAGAAGCTGTCAAGCCCTGTTACAGCAGCTTGATGGATGTGGAAAGTAAGTTAATGCCGCGTTCTACGAACGATTATTATCATTATTTCTTGGCTTTTCATCAGTGAATAAAAGAGGTATACGATGCTGATTGAATAAATTCGAAATGCGAGAGATGTATATGCACATATGTTATATAAATTTATTTATCTGATAGATCTCTCTCAATATTTACTCGTAATATTTATTTGTGGATATCGGACACACATACGGTTGTGTTATATCTCGCGAAACGTGTCTAAAAAAGAAAAAAAATATGCATTCCTCTTTGTTTCGGAGTAATAAATAAATATTATTGCCCCAAACGACACAAATGAAGACGTGTGTATCGCGAAAAATAATTAATAGCAAGCGGCACGCGGGGATTAGCATGTTTATCTCTGTTAGAATGTTAGAGTGCAAATATTATGCGAATACGCGAAGTCGCGTGCGGATTATACGCGGAGCCAGCCGAGCAAGAGAACAAAGAGAGCGCAGTTCTCCCGAAACGTAATGAGATAATTAGGATGAATGAATCAGCAGTCGCAGTTTGCCGCGAGGGTTGCTCAAGGCGGTCGTTCCATGACGTCACCGACACCGCACCCCGTCACGTGGTTCCTTGCCAGCTGGCAATCGATCGCCGCCACATCCTGTACCCACCCTCTGTTGCCAACTTTAACGCGGAGATACTCCACTTTTGACATCGAAGCAAGATTTCCGATATCCTCGACGTGCTTCCAAGCCCTTTATCAAAATTGAGGACACGCTGGAGAGGATGAAAAAATTTCAATCGGTAAGTTGAGAATTATGAAGAGAGTCACGCTTACTGCGGCGTCGGCAAAATTATCTGTCCGTGCGATACGAAAATGCGTGTGTTAAGCGGCTCGTGTAGAACGATCGACAAGGGAGATTGCCCGTAGAATCGATAGCCACTCCCGAGACTTGATCTCATCTCTCAATATTTCACGATCCAATCGCACCGCGAGATCCGCAGACCTTTCTTAGATCTCGTTTCACACACACACACACACACACACACGCTCACACATACAAGCAAGGAAGAGAGGTGAAAGGAACGGTGAAAAAAATTTCCGTCCGGCGTCTCACGTCGAATTAAAGAATTGACGATGCGGTACAATGGAACGCGCAACTCGTTACCAGGGGAGTTTTCGAACGAGCTCTCCCGTAATTCTATACCGCGGCGTGTACACAGACAAGTCTGCTCCGAGACGTTGCCTGGCAACGTCTCGTAGTATCAATCAATGCCGCGGATAGAGAGTAGCAGTCGGAGGAAATTGACGAAAAAAAGGGAGGAAAAGGAAGAGAGAGAGAGAGAGAGAGAGAGAGAGAGAGAGAGAGAGGGGGGGAAAGATGAAGAACCGCAAGAGACAGCGCGGCCTCATCTCCTCTTGCGCAGTGGCCTCCGACTTTATCCCGCAATAAGTAAATGCGTGTTGCATACTTTCCGGTAAGTGTCGACGATATTATTAACCGGCGACCGGCGAAATATATGCTGCCTTCGCGTGAAATCGCGCTCGGGAGCGCGAGCGTGCGGCGGACTCGTCGATTAATTAATCAGGATTAACATTCCATTAGTCTTCCGCAATCTTGCCGCGAAGTTGCAGCTTCCTGGGCGGACTTCGCGTAAATTCCCCATTCATTCGGGCAGATTACTATCGATTGGGAGGAAGAAAATTGCGGGAAATTTACGGCATGGTTTCTGTAGCGTACGCGCGGTAAATATAAATGATTTCGCAGCGTTACGCGCAGGGTAAAATATTAGCGTCGCGTTTTAAGCGGGGAGGGGAGGAATGTAAAATATGACGCGAGCGAAATATACGGGGTCGTTTCGACGATAGAAAGGCGACTAATGTTCCGTGTGCGTTTAAGACCGGGGAAAATGTCTCGGCGCACACGATATATCATCGACATTGTTATCCTACCGCGGGAAATTATTCGCAGGGAGATGAATGTCTGATTGAATCCGCGCGACAACGGACGAAGCGAATGCATTTTCGTCGAAAGAGAAACAGATTTTCCGGTTCATGATGAACCAAACTCAAATTCCTAAGACTCTCCTAAGAAGCTCAAATTCCTAAGACTCTCCTAAGAAACTCCTAAGAACCAGAAGTCTTCCTTCTTAGTTCGTCCATTGTCGTGTTGATTTAATCAAACTTTTTTCTCCCTGCGCTACCAGCATCCTTGCGAGACTCTTATAGACTTTATAATTGATTTCTAGTTGAGTGAATGTCATGAGAACCTTAATGCAAAGAGTTTGGCCTTGTTGTTGAATATAAACGATTCACGGAGGAAGAAGTTTGGGTGAATTAACGTGACACACTGAGACGCAAATAAACGCACTTTGATTGAAGGAGAAAGACTTTCTGGGGTCTTCATGAGCCAAATTCGCTCCTAAAAACCAGACATTCTACTTCTTTCTACTGAAGCGCATTTCTTCGTACTCTGTCATGTCGCTTCGAGCAATCTTTTCTCTGTACATATCTGCCGCATTGAGAAGTCGTCTGACAGTGAAGAATCACGTTATATCGTTTCAGGGCATATCGAACGCACGTAGCACGGTGCCACGTACGTGTCAAACCGATCGGAAGCCCTAAAGGCTGATGCAAGAGAAGCCGTGCTTCCTCCGTGGGTCGCGCGTCACTTAATGCTCACCGACTCCCACCGGTTTCGGCTGCGATAGCTATCAGATGGCTATCGCTACACGGGCTCCAAAAATTTACATAGGGCGCATCTTGTCGAGACGACGACTCCGGCGACCGCATTTGCGACCGAGACTTCTCTCCGAGGGTCACTGACTGAGAAACCGCGACGAGACGGTGTGCATTTTGCGAGCACGTATCGCTCGACACCGCGGGAACGAAGCTTCGCGTTCGTTATGAATATATAACTGCGGACAAAGACTTATCTCGAGTGAAATCTACGCGAAAAAAGGATACTGTTGTATCAGAAGAATTGGAGTAGACTTTCTTCACCCAATAACATTGTTAACACTAATACATCGTATGTTATTTGAAAAAATCTTGGACATCGATTTTAATAATGTTATTGTTGAAACAAAAAGACGCGTTTATTCCAATCATAACACTGTCGAACAGTTTTTTTAATACAACAACATTTTCCCCGTGTAGTAAAAAAAGTTACTCAAAGACAGTATCAAATTAATGTTAATATTTGAAAAGTGCAAAGTGGAAATTAGAAGAAAAAATTAGAAGGCTTTGTGATTCAAAGAAACCAAATATTGATACGTGATAATGTTGTATAAAATACGACCGAGATTAAATTTTTAATATAAATTTATGACATGAACTTTTATATAAATTTTTAACGATTTATATTATATGTAATATTATCATGCACTACTATTTACTTTTTTTTTTACTTACATTTAAATTTTAGAGCTTTCTTATCTTTTTTTATGATTTTTAATTTGCAATTTCAAACTCAATGGTAATCTGATATGAACTTCATCTGATATGATTTTAAATGGAATACGGTAGATATCTCTCAGACTTGCTTCACTCAGTTATTTGACCTAAATTCAGTTCGGAGAGAATTATAAGAGCCAAACGTAGATATTGTGTGGTACGTAATAATGTAATATACAGGGTGTTTAAAAAGTACTGGGACGGCGAAATATCTTGAAAGCATTTTAGAAAAAAATGTTTCAGACAAAAGTTGTATGGTTTCAAAGGGGGCATAAAAAACAACTGTGTCATTTTCTTTATAGATGGCGTTACTTTCGAGATATGCACTGGTCATCACTTTTCTTAAAA